TAGGAGTCGCTGCTCTCTTTCACCTGCGCATGAATTTTCTATGGCTCATGCAAAAGACACATAATGGAAACATGGAGCAACAGGATGCTTCAACTCTCTATCACAACATGAACTTCTGGGGACGAAAGAATATTCCAGCGGGCCGTGCAGCTTTTCAAGTTCTGGAAGAGCTGGTGCTTTACAATTTCGACGCTCGGGTTATTGGACTACTCTATACTCGCCTCGAGCAGTGCGGCATCGATATCTCGGATCAAGATGAGGTTGATAAGGCAATTTGGAATATAAATACCAGAGGCTTTATGGACCTAGTGGAGGATGTTCGCAGATCCGCATTTGAGCCGCAAGCCTGGCAATCGTCCAAGGAGAAGCATACCAACAATATAGTTGATGAGGAGTTCCTCAGTCATGCTCGATACCTTCAACAGATGGTTGTATACAAGACCTTAAAGTACGGCATCAAGAACGGAGATATAGGACTCATCGATCGAGTCATTGGTGTCTGTTGCTTTTACTTCGAGTTCGAAATGCTCTATCTAAAGCGGCTCACCTGTAACGGACCACGATAGATGAGTGATGACACCGGTGGTAACGTTATGAATTTAGCTATAGAAGAAGGAAGTTCCAAGTGTGTGTCCGGAATGATCTATGTAAGCCTCACATTGTGATGCTGCCTCAGGCCGTAAGGCCAACAATCCACAGTCTGGGCCGACAGTCCAAGACTATGACACATCATCAATATAAATACCTCGAGTGCCATCGTCATCGGGAGGGACCTACGAAAGACTCCGGGCACTTCTTCGTAACATGGATGACCATCATCCCCAGGGACCAGCTATCCTCAGTCGAAAATCTCACAGTGTTCGAACTGTGGAAGTATTTCAAAGGCGAATCAGAACACCTATCGCACACCGCGGAACTCAGTACCTGGTTACCTCCATTGATCGCAAGGCTTTAATGTAACCCATATATCTGGAATTGATACAGAAGGCCGACCTACAGGCAGTTCATGAGCACGTATTTCGACGCAAACTTTACCAATTTGCCAGCACATACGTCTCTATGGAGCCATGGATGAAGCCTGTGATGCTAGGGTCGCTTGGTAGTTATTAATTACAGGCATAGCGAAATAATCTAAAGACCAGAGGGAATATCTGAAGGAACCACTAGTCGTAACTTGACGGACCTTATATTTCAGGTGTATCCGCACCTTTTGGACATCCCAAATGTGACCGAGCTCCCAATCTACCGATTGCTGTCGCAATTTAATATAGTTTCCGACAGCCACAACCGAGTTCTAGATATAACGCCTTTCGCACTTCAGCCGTCCCCTGGAAGTATTTTTTTCGATTAGGATGTATTAGACTCTATTCTTAGAAAGTGGCTCTCCGAGTTCGAAAGGGGAAAATTCTCCTTTTCTGGTAATAGTCCTATTTATATACCGTGGACCGCCCAAGACTTAGAAGAGGCTATTCAAGCATGGGAGACTCTTTTAAACGTTATCGAGGCAAATATGCCTGGCTATACCGTCGAGTCCCGCCGTGAAAACCCCTTACCGACGAATATCCTCGACCAGTATACGCTGAGTCCATTCACTAAAGCATTCCTTTCGCGGGCACGATTACCTTCATTCAAATATGTTGCTCCAGGGGTAACCCATTTCACTCTGGACTTTTTCTATGCCGTTTATTCCTCCGAGCTACGCGATTCTCCACGATTGCCCCCGCACGAGGATCCAGACTTGAATGAAGTTGCGACGCTGATTCCCCCAGCCGAATGCTCTATACCTTATCCCGCGGGTCCTGACTCCGCTGATAGCGAGGGATTTGCGAGGTTTACGGTTGCTCGTCGAGCTGGTCTTTATACGACCCCGGACGCATACTGCGCTGATGGTGTCAAGCTGGTCGACTCTGTTGGTAGTAGCCGAGAGATCCTACGTTATCGACCACCACACTGCCCCTGGGGGCCGAATCGTTATCCTCGGCTTGCAGATATTCTTCAAAAGTGGGCGGAGCTTGTCCAGAATAAAGTCTGGGTGGTTGATCACGATGGGGTGAAGACGAGCATCGATTGGTTTCTGGAAAACGATGTTACGCTAGAATGGTCTTTGTAAGAGTCTATAAAATGGGAATGTCAATTTCAGATTTTATTCAAGCCTCTAGCCTTGTCGGAGCCGTAGCAGAAGAGGATACTAAACCTAATTCCAGTTGTATTGTTACGGCACGGTAGCTGGATGCACACAACATACGCGTAGCCAAAGATATTCTAGATTGAGATGAAGAGTAAAGGTATCTGTGACAGAGGAATTGTCGCATTAATGCGGGGATGATGATTAAGCACGATTGCTGCTTAAGCTCAGTTACTGTAGAGTCATAACGCAAATTGGTATTAACGATTCACATCGTCTAGGAAAAGAGATCTAGCTAGTAGCCAGATGAGATAACTTAAATACATAGGAGAAAACTGAAGAGTCCTGATTAGGCCTAGCCCAGGGGTAGGGGGCAGTGAAAGGAATGTTAGGTGGCAGTAGAAACCAACAGAGGCATCTTGCGACAGGAATCTTGATGAGGTTCCATCTCGGTGCTACTAGGCTTGATTAGGCTTAGGCTCTCAGTCTATGCCAACCATGGGCCATGCCCATAACACTCTCCATTCCAATGCCCTAATGCTGTGTTACTATGTTTGTTTGCTTCTCTGATATAATCCACCAGCCACGTCTTCAGCCACAACCAAGGGAACAGGCCGCAGGCTTGGGACCATAACACATATCGCCTGAATAAGAAGATTAAGAAGCTACGTTTAGCCTATTCTTACTGAGGATAATGACCTCCCCTTCATCGGCTTTATATGTTATGGTCCCAGGCCTGCGGCCTGTTCCCTTGGTTGTGGCTGAAGACGTAGCTGGTGGATTATATCAGAGAAGCTGTTACGGTTATCCTCAAGTATTGATGCCTCAGGCATCAATCGTCAGGTGATCAACCATCTATATCTACAGTTCTAGTTAATTAGACATCCCCAACTAGTTAGTCTCCATAGATCCCCACATGGGCCTCGCAGAGAGGCCTGAAGGGTGTATGAATCTCTCTCTCTCTAGTCTCCATAGAAATCAATCAATATAATCAGTCTTCTACTATTGTCGTCTTCACAACAGAAGCAAACAAACATGGTAACACAGCATTAGGGCATTGGAGAGGAGAGTCGCTATCTCGCGCACAAAGGTGCCGGGAGATTTCTTCTCCCTCTCTCTTCAGTTTAGATTAATGGAACTTGGTAATCGCAGATCTTGCGCATCCAGACCGTGTCACCGTGATCACAAAGCAAACCTTTCAAATCATCCCTTCTATTTATCTTACTTAAACCCTACCCTTTAAAGCCTAAATCTTATAGCTATTTTAGCGTCTCACGTGATCTAGCTCTAAAACAACAAAATAACCTCATTTAACGCCCTCCCCATCTATCGCCGCACACTACGACGAAATCGATCGACGAGCGACGACGCGTCTCCGGATGAAGCGCAATTGCACCTCTTCCACATGACTGAGGCCGTCATCCCCATCACCTACATCCCGCGGAGCGACATCCCCCCCATCACCCTTTCCCCCTCCTCCACCCCTCCCACCACCACCCGCTACTTCATCGACGACCGCCTCAGCCTCCCCGACGGCCCCTGCATCTACGTCGTCTACGAGCAAGACGCCGCCGACCTCCTCATCGGCCCGCCACTTCACATCGCCGTCGACGCGATCCTCGAATACGTCTCCCCTGCGCACCTCGAGGACTTCGAGAACTGGCGCTTCGAGCACCCGGAACAGGAGCCGCCGATCATCAAGGTCAATGGGAAGGACATCCCGCCGAAGAAGCGCAAACGGTCGCCGAAGAGCCGGATCGTAACGACGGCGCCGTCGCGGGTGGATGGGGAGTCGAGCGATGAGTTCGTGCATCCGAAGAAGAAACGCTCGAATATCGTTGTGCCGGTCGTGAATGGCTCGGCGAATAAAGTGAAGAAGCGAGGGAAACCAGCGGGGGTCAGGAAAAAGGATCTCACTACCAAAGGAGGGCAGCATCTCGCGTTACCTAGTCGATTCAACTCGTCGACATCACAATCCCCGTCCCGCGCCGTCACTCCACTCACCCGACCCCATCAACCCTCCTCCACCTCGCTCTCCACCTCCTCCCCACCACCCGACAGCACCAAGCGGAAATACTCCATGCTCCAAGCCGTTGCGCCCCCACCCGCCGACGAATACGAAATCGAACGCATCCTCCGGCACCAGGACATCGGCGGGATGATGTTCTACTTCGCCAAGTGGGTGGGGTACGGGGAGGCGGACGGGACGTGGCTGAGTGAGGAGGAGTTGGGGGGGGCGGCGGAAGTGTTGAGGGAGTATAAACGATCGGGTGCGTGGGTGGGGAGTTGAGGAAGGGGACTGGGTTAGGATGGGGTTGGGCTGGGGGTTGGAGTATGGGTTAGGATGGGGTTGGGAAGCTGGTTTTATGATACCCCTTGATTTGCGTGCATTTTGAATTCATGAGCATTTTACTTAGCGGAGACAACAGCTGGTGAATGGATTGACTGATGTCGAGTGGATATATCTACGGTACCAAATGCATGGATGGTGATCCAGTATCGTTCTACTACTTGCACTGGCTAATTCGAGTGGGCAAATGTCCTAGCGAGGGATCATTCAGCGTGTCACCGTAAACTTACTGTAAACATGCCCATATTGATAGAAACCATAGATTCTCTGAGCTAGTCAGCCATATGATTACATTTTCAACCAATTCGACCCCAAGCTTTCGTGCCACCATGCAATGTCGCCACAGCTGTCGTGATTAATATACAGCTCCTGTACTGCGCTCAGTCATCATGCGAAGCTTCTCGGCCCGCATTTTGTTGAGAATAGGGCCAAGGAAAACCTTATCGGAATGCTCAATGAACTAGAAGGGAGTTGCCTAGGCACCAAGGAATCGAAATGGCGTTGATGTGGCGAGCTGAACATGCACTGGTCATAGCAGTAGTACCACTGGTACCACTGGTATCACTGGCACGTGAACTTGAGTCGACTTTCCCTGTGACGGATTACTATACTGTTAAAATAGCTAGGCGCCGCGGATGCACGAGATATGGAAAAAAAGCTAAGGAATTGCCTAGACAATGTAGACGATAGTAATCAAAGGGGTGGAAATCGTCTATATAAACACAAGAGTCGCTGCAGCTAGATAACTGGAAGAACTATTCAAGATCGAGAACACTACAGTCCACATCCTAATCGCAGCTGCCTTCCAACAAGCACCATGTCCTCATCCGTTCCAAAAATCTTCGTCATCGGCGGCACCGGGGCGCAGGGCATACCCATCGTCCGCGGCCTGGTCGAAGACGGGAAATACCAAGTCCGCGTCCTCACCCGCGACATCACCTCCAAGCGCGCCCAAGACCTGCAAGCGCTCGGCAACGTCGAGCTCGTCGTCGGCTCCTTCGCCAACGAATCCCGCCTACGCGCCGGGTTCCGCGGGTGCGCGGGCGCGTACGTCAACATCGATGGGTTCACCACCGGCGAAAAGGGCGAGATGTTCTGGGCGATGCGGGCGTACGAGCTGGCGATCGACGAGGGGGTGAAGTTTTTCGTGTATGGAAATCTGGACTATGGGACGAAGAAGGGAGGGTATGATGCGAAGTATCGGACGGGGCATTATGATGGGAAGGGGAGGGTGGGAGAGTGGATGTTGTGGCAGAATCGGGAGAATCGGGGGCGGATGGGGGCGGCGGTGTTTACGAGTGGGCCGTATATTGAGATGGCGATCGCGTATGGGACACCCATGATGCCGACGATGGAAGACGGGGTGCTGACGTGGAGGCTCCCGCTGGGCGATGGGGCCGTCCCCCACGTCTCGTTGGATGATTGCGCCCATTATGTCCGCTGGCTCTTCGACAACCAAGAGCGCGCCAACGGAATGGATCTGGAAGTTGCCATCGACCACATCCAGTATGAGGACGTTGCCGCAGCCTTCGAGAAAGTGAGCGGCCATCCCGCACAGTTCATCGACATCTCTCTCGAAGAATACTGGAAAACCTCCCCCTTCGGCGGTGATGGGGCACAGTTGAGTAGCGCCATCCACGCCGATCCAAAGGACCCGGCCAGCCTGACGCGCCAGCAAACCTTCACGGGCTTTTGGAACCTATTCCGGGACTCCGGAAACAACACGGGGGTCATCCGCCGCGATTATCAGTTGCTGGACGAGATCCATCCGAACCGGATCCGGACGGTGGAGGAGTATTTCCGGAGGGAACAGGAGAAGGGGGAGAAAGAGGGGTTGGGTTCGCTGTGGGATCGTGTGCAGCCGGCACGGATGAAGCCGGTTCTGAAATTGGCCGAGGACGGGGCCAGGCTCGGGTTTTGATAGCTCATTGCCTGTGTTCGATAGATTAGCAAATATCGATGAGGATATACATAGCTCACAAGACATACGTTCAGTTCCCCCTAGTCTCCGTCGCCTTTACCCGCGGTCGGAATTTTTCTCGAATTTTAAGCGCCGTAGCCTCCATTGGTACAGCCATTGCCCGCTTTTGCAGCACGATGCTGTCTCCCCGTTCAATATTATTGACCGCCCGTCTCATGCCGGCTTTATCGCTTCCTTTCGCTTCGGTCATTTTCAATGTATCCTTCTCCAGCGTGTAGGCAAGCGGCCAATGGCGCCGGGTTTTGCTGTACACATGTGGCTGCAGAGCACTTCGGGCGAGCTGAGGATATCCTTCTGAGTGCAGCTTTTCCAGTGACCTGGTCCATTGTAAGCTTGGTTTTGTTTAGGTGACAGAGATGGATTCATACTTCATCGCTTTCGTCAGATGAACGAATCGACGCATTGCTTCGCGAAATGACTCCATTGTGAATGTGAGATAGTGGTTCAACAACAACAAGATCGTAGGGTTGCAATGAGTTGATCCTGCCAATAAATTCCGAGTTCAACAATTTAATCTGAGCCAATTGAAGGAATTGAATGAATGAATGGGATGTTCGAAGTGTTGTTTAATATTTTGAGTCGGGAGCTCGCAGTCGTGATGTTGAAATCCTTCCATGTGGTCCGAGCTTCCTAATGGTTTGGAGCAAATGAGCAATGGAGCTCCGGCCGCAATATTATCGTCAATGCAGACAGTATGATGTCTCTCAGAAGCTTCAATAAAGGCCAAGGACAATTTGCACAAGTTTGCAGAGTCCGTCATTGACCCTCTTGAGCAGACGAGTAAGGCGGAAAGGCCCAAAGATAATGTCACCCAATATCATTGTACGATGGTATATATAACCAGTCAATAGACAAAGATCCTCAAAGAGACGTGGACAATGAAATTGTTGACACAACGGTTCGCAATAGAGATGCGTAGACTCATGAATGGACAAAGAGTCATTGTGACTTTTAGATCCAAAGGACTATCACTTGGTCATAAATATGCGTCCGAGCCTGCAGAACCCATTTCTGCCCTTCTCCATCACCAGAAAACCAGAACATTTGCAACCCATCGTCGAAAGTAAAGAAGAAACCACACCCCATGGACCCAGCCGCCGCAAAGCAGTGCCTCGAGGCCCTCGAGGCCGACTATCGCGCAGTGAAAGCCGAGTATATCAAGCTGAGCGACCAATACGCCAACTTCACCCCGATGACTAAACTCGGGCTCCAGAAAGACCGCAATGAGGCGGAGGTCCGAGTGATTCTCCGCGCGGCCCTCGACGCTGATCTCAAGTCCAACCGCCTCGCGAAGTGCGAAGACATCCAGACCACCTTCCTCGCGAATCTCAAGATCGCCGGGAACCTCGTGCAGGCGACCAATCTGCGAGTGAAGAAGCACCGCGGCGACCATTTCGTGGCGCTGTGCGAGATGGCGGACGAGCACATTCAAGCGGCCAAGGCCGATATGGAGTCCACGCGGGATTTCTTCCGGGTCTTGAAGGAGGATGACGGTCCGGAGCGGAAGTGGCGGGCGAAACATCCGCATCTTGAGGCCGACAGGATCCGCAAGGCGGAACGCGATTGGGACAAGATTTTCCACCGCATCGACCGTGGGGAGAATATCAGATCCGCGATTGGGAGCGTTCTTGACGGTTGAGAGGGGGTATCGCGGACTAAAACACGCTCTCCAACCTTGACTGCGCACCGTTCGCACCGTTCGCACCCGTTCGACTCTGGTCGAAATCCCTTCACAAGACTTGCAAGGCAAACTGAACCCTAGCTCTTCCGCAACCATGGACCGTCCAGGTAACGGTAAGTACTGTGCAACTCTAACAACAGTCGTTTCCGCATATAGAATGCCTAACCAATAGAATGCTTTGAAGCACAGTTGGTATTCTTTTCAACTGACTGACCAATTGATTAGCCTGAGATACAATTAGAAGAATTCTATGTTTTTCCTTTGCATGGACTGACCTTGATAGTATGTGATTCGCTTTGGCAGCCAGCCAACCTGATTGCGAAGCCAGTGTGAGCAGGTTGCGTTGGGTGGATTTCATGCTTGGGGTGGGTAAGGGGGTGTTAGTCAGAAGACAGGATCCAGTGAGTATAGTGACCTTGCGCGGCGTGCATTTTGCGTTAATGCGTAGGGTAGGTCTTGGAGACAGTAGTTCAAAAAAGACAACTGTGGGGTTTAGAACTACCACTTTGACGACTCCCTCAAAGTCCGGATGTCCTCGATATAACCAATCTTACGCCCACGTACTAAGCCGAGTGCATCTTGCAGTAATCCATAGCATATACCAATGCCAATTCCGAGTCTCGCCGTACGGGCAGCAGTGGCTGCCGGGAACCGGTCTAATATCTGTCAGTACTCTGCCACCAATCTATACGGCAACGTGATCCACGTACTCCAAAGACTAAAAGCACCAGTTGTACCCGTCGCAGCCACCACAGTACTCAACGCATCCTTCCCCTCATCCGGCCGCAACGAGTCGACCGCCTGCTCGGCCAACAAGAATGCGGCGGTCCAACCCCCCAGCTTGACCCCCATCTTGATCCCCTCCCGCACGCCGCCGTACGCCGCTTGGTAGTTCTTGGTCTTGTGGTAGAAAAACCAACCGCGCTGCGACGTGGGGAGGCGGTGGGCGTTCTCAGCCCGGAAGACGTAGCCGGCTTCCTGGCCGCCTTTGAAAGTTCCTAGGAGAAAACCAGACGCCGCGGCGGCGAAGGAACCGGTCATTAGGCGTTGGGTCGGGAGCATTGATAGTCGCTCATTCTCGTCGAGTGTTGGGGGCATTGTGTTTGAGGTTTGAGGGGGCTGTTCAGCGGTTTGTTGAAGGGTATCGGCGGAGGTGTTCATGTTGGCAGTTCGCGGTGGTGTCTTTGCTCTGAGCTTGTGATGGTCGTTCGAGGAACAAAGGGAGATTGGTTTATCTCTCTCTATGAACCATATGGCTTCTTTTGGTATATTATTCAATGGGAACGCCGATTTTCAAGAATTTGAGACTGAATCGGAGAAATGGTTAAGAACGGTAGTCCTTTGTAGTCCCCCAAGTCCTGATATCAAAGCTTCTATCAAATGCCATCCCTGCAACGTCCATCAGTCTTGGCAGAAAGTATCACGACTTAATCTTCAATTCCATTTCAAGAACATCATATCAAAATATTCCAAGTTGACCATACACGATCCCTTCCAAAACGAAGCCATTGACGGAATTAAAGCTACCGGCTAAGGCCGAAGCCCTCTGGGACACTATCTCCTCCTAATCTCCCCCAACTCCCCCAAAATGATGTTCAAACCCTCCCCCATCCTTCAAAAAAGGACCCCCGTCCGCCTCAAAGGTTTCCGTCGACCCGCCCTCCGCCTCCTCCGCGCCGCCGAGGTATCCATGCACCCCCTCGCCACGATGGAAGACCTGGGTGTCCCGCACATTCAGCCGACACGCGGCCAGTCGAACCACGACGCCTGGAAGAAGCTCGGCCACCCCATCGTCGCCATCCAGCGGCGCGCAGGGCTCACTGTCGTGCATCAGGGCGCGGGGTCGGGCGACCCGGCGGAGAACACGCAGCTCGCAAGGTTGGGTGCGACGGAGCGGATATGGAGTCCGAGGGAGCAGCAGTTGAGAGAGGAGGGGAAGGCGGATTTGGTGGACGTGCCGGCCATTGCGAGGAAGAAGCAGAAACGGCGGACGGGTAAGGCACGGAATTGGGATGGTAGACCGATCATGCTGACTCTGTGAAGGACATGAGATAGTGCCGTTGGAAAATGCGACGCAACGACCCCGCCCGAGAACAAACCCTGGGCGATACAAGCCGCCGGCAACGCTCTACTGGCAGCATAGTATTTACACCTACAACAAAGCATCGATGAAGCCATTACCAGCAACCACGAGGAACGCCACGAAGATGCTCCGCGGCTTCATCACTCGATATCCGAAGGACCTAGACGGCGTCCTGGACGCAGTACGTAACCCAACCCCAATGATTGATAGCAAACGTTAATACCCCCCAGCTCCGCACCGAAAACTCCCGCGCGCGCACCCCCCTCCGCGCCTACCTCTCCGACCGCTCCTCTCCCCGCACCGACATGCTCCCCTCCCTGATCGGCGTGATCAGCATGCTCGGCAAAGGCGGCTTCCTGTACCCGTGGCGTGCGATGCAGAGCCTGGCGCCGGAGATCACGTTCAAGCACTACAACGGCGGGCGGGTGGGCATCCAGACATTCGTGTATGATCGGCGGATCGAGGCGTTGCGGCAGGAGAGGCAGAGGGTGTGGGGACAGATGAAGGAGATGATGGAGAAGGGGGGGTTGATGAATCAGGGGAAGGACGGGGAGGTGATGAAGGAGTTGGAGGGGAGGTTGAAGGCGGCGGGGGTGCAGTAGACTTGGTTCGAAGTTTGGGTGGGGGTTCTCATTGGGCGTGGATCCGTGTCTACCTGTATGTGTACGATAAAGGCAGTGATACCCCGAACTGTTAACAAAATCGAAGTATATAAGAACTCAGGGGAGGGGTTGAATCGCAACGCTCGATCCCTGAGCTGGATTGGCATCGAATATCTCCTGGCTCAGCGTCTTCGCACTACAATTCGACCTTAACTCCAAGACAGACCCCTGCTTTATTAAGACGACCCCTTTACATTTTCCTTCACTACAATTCTAAGGAGCGATCTTGATACAAACGACCAAACTTGAATATTAGACTACCACGCCAGTACTTTTGTGTTAACCATCCCAATATCCAAATTCACTGAACAACCGGGTATATCCTCCCACCAGCGGCCACCAACTCCCTCGTGATCTCACGATCCCACCCCTCCACCGTCACTACTCCAGGCGCCGTCTCCGAACCCCCATTCAGATCCCCCGCCGCCAATAACAACCTCAGCATCTCCACTGACCCACTCTGACACGCAAGCCCCAACGCCTCCTCCCTTTCCCCCTCCACCCGATACGCCCCCGCACCCACCAACTCCTCCACCACCTCCACCCGCCCATACCGCGCCGCCACCCTCAACGGACTCCACCCCCCTACTCCCTCCCTCATCTCCCTCGTCATCCCCCCCGCCAAAAAGTAATTCAACACCCGCATCGATCCCTCCTTCGCCAACAAGTTCAGCATCCATCGATTATCGTCCGCCGGCAGCTGCGCGATGTGCGTCACCCCGAGCTCCTCGATTAATGGCCGCGCTGCCTGCATCCAGCTGGTGGGGAAGTTACTCCCATCGGATCCGGGCACCAGGGCGAGGCGGATCAGGCCTTCGAAGGGGCCGCAGAAGCGGCCGCGGACGCGCTGCGCGTGGCGGAACCAGTGCTGGGAGGCGTAGGAGAGAAAGGGGTAGGTGCGGAGGCGGTTGTGGAGTTCGGTGGGGGAGACGCAGGGCGTGCGGAACGGGGGCATGGTTAGGTAGGTGAGGCAGGCAGAGGCTAGGTCCTCGTGGGGGTCGATCGCGGGCTCCCCGGCGCCACCATCACTACCACTGCTATGGCGGGCTAGATACGCGGGTAGGAAATCGCGGAGGGATTCGTGGGCGAGGTGAACGGCGCCGTGGCGCTGCTCGAGGAGCCGCGTTGCCAGGCGCAGGATCTGTGAGACGTCGGCCCAGGCATTGGAGAGGACGGCGGGGTGGGCGGGGTCGACGGCGAGGCCGCAGGCGAGTTCGTTGAGGGCGAGGGGGCGGGGCGCGACGGCGGCCCAGGCGAGGGCGCGGAGGGCCAGGGGGGCGAGGGGGTGGGGGTGAGAGCGGAGATGGTCGAGGAGCTGGGCGTAGATGTGGGGTTGGGGGATGCGGAGGGAGAGGGATATGTGGAGGGGGGCTTTGAGGGGGGTTAGTTGAGGGGTTGGAAAGGAGGAGGGGGACGGTACCATCTGGGGGAATGTCGGTGGCCATGGTGGTGTCATGTGGGATTTGAAGAGGTAGAGGGAGTTCGCGGGCGACGCGCAGGCGCAGTGCTCGAATGGGTGGACGATGCTGCGAAGTCATGGAGAGGGAACGAGGAGGAGAGGCGAGATTCTCTCCGCACTTAACCGCCGGCGGACGGCACCAATCAACTGACGGTTCACAAACGAGGCGGACGTGGAGGTCACGATACCGACCCAATCCTTCGCGTTGGAGGAATTGGAGGTAGCAAGGCACGCTTCAACGGCAGCATGCATCGCCACCCCTGGCCGGATCTCTCCTTGGGAGCGTCGTTGACTCCTTGGACCCAACCGACGCTTCAGCGACGGACCCAACGTCCGGCAGCGGTGGTACATGAGACAACGGTACTGGAAGCGGACATGAACGAACGAAGTACGAAGGTGCAGGAAAAAAAGCATCGCAGGACGCCGAGAGGCCCTACGAAGCGGCGGGCACGAAACATTGCACACCGGTTCGACATGGAACTGAGGGTGGAAGGACTCAATGCGGTTGACGGATAGATGACACAGCTAGCGCAAATCTATGCCAAATCTGGGGCATATGCATGGCGCACTGAACGAAATGTACTTACGGGACTATTCACTTGCAGATGAATATATGAATTGCTGGATTAATGGCCTTGGTGAGGAGTGAGAGAAGGATATTTGTCGAGAGACTTTGTCTTGGACATGGGGCTCGGGGATATTCCGTAGATCTATACGGTATTTACATGGCGATCAGTAATAAGGGAATTACTACGCAAAGACTAAGGATCGATAAGGAATTAAAGACGGAGCCGGATGACGGCTAACTGGATCTGGTCAAGTGCTCTCTCTATTTCCATCATTCCATTGATCCATCACTCATCCATCGCCAGGTGCAGATTGGAGTTGCGATGCGATGCTCTGGACGTCAATCAATAATTCCACCACCACTTTATCTCCCTTCACTCTTCAGCTTCCACATCTTCCTCTTCATCAACCCACCTTCCTTTCTCCACCTCACACATCGATTTCCTTCTTCTCTTCACAATGATCAGCATCACCTAGTTTAAACCCTCGTTTTCCACCTCCTTTCGCCGTATCGTGATCGGCACGTTTCCTCGTCCAACATACTTAAAAGGGTTCAACCCGCCATCACCCTTCGCCTTCTGCCTCTGATTCTTCCGCGATGGATGCGGAAACTCCCACCTCCGCGCCCACCGCTCGCGCTGAAGAACCCGACCCTCGCAGCCGACTCGAACATGTCCTCTCCGCCGACCCCCAAGGAGATGCATCCTCCAACGAAGCCACCACCGCCACCGCTCCCGTCTCACCCACGAACGATCTGGCCGATCCCAGCCCCGAGGAGCGCGCATCATCGCTCGGGACGCCCGCTCCCGGCTCCGAGGTGCCGCAGTACACGGCCAACCCGACTACAACGCGCCGCAACGCGAACGGGAGCGTGTCGTCGGTGTATTCCGGGAACAAGATCCGGCACCTGAAGAAAGAGGACGGGGTGCCGCTGTGGCGGAAGGATATCCAGTATGAGTTCCTGCGGACGGTGTTCGAGGACGAGAAGCCGGTTTTCCACAAGACGTCGGATGGGTCGTTTGGTCATCGGTTCTCGGATATCTACCTGGATGCCATGGCCAAGAGTAGCAAATGTAGCAAGATCCTAAAAGATAAGCTTCTCACCGAGCGTCCGCAGGCTATCAATATGGCGATGGTCTGCTTGCTGGTCAACGTCGGTCGGATGAATACAACTTTGAACTGTGAGTTATGCCAATGGCAAGGATAAGTCCAGCACTAACACACGACAGTCTTTCCGGAGATGCGCGCACAACTACGAACCTATCACTCCATCCCTTCCCTCCAAGCACATCAAGATCCCAGCGCATACAAACAACTCCAAGACGCTCCGCGACTCAAATCCATCCTGAAAGGTGCTACCGAGGACATTGAGCAGCCCAGCAATCTCGACGACATCATGTCGGCCCCTATCCCGCGAACCAACCCCGTCAATCTCATCTTCGTCCTGGCGCAATATGCACCCAGAGTCTCCGCCATGCACTTCGATGTCCCGCGTGATTTTTTCGATCTGGTGATGAAGCCCGAGCTGAGCAGCGCTAGCCGCGCCACGGCGTTCCTTTGGCTGATGTGGTGGTATCTCGAGAGCAACTTCTCCAAGGAGGATGCGCTCCGCAACCCGTATGGACTCGGCCGCGTTTCCAAGGACGATCCCGAGGAATTACCCATCAAATGCCCGCAATTTGAATACCTATCTAAAGAACAGGCGGATCTGGAGAATGTTGATACCGACAGCGAAAAAGAGTTCGGCGAATTGAAGCGGTTGGAACGGATCGGTATGATTCCTTTATGAAACGTTGGATATCGTAAACATTGGCTAATATTGTTCCAGCCATCCTGCAATCCGACGTGCCCGCATCATCAGCAGGCGGTAAGAGAGGCGTTGGTCGAAAGTCGGGAGGCTTCGGCAATAGCCCGGCCTTTAACTTGCACTCCGATGACGGTGCAAGTCCTGCGAGAGACTCCCCAGTCCCTCCGCACAAAGGTAAGAAATACAGTCAACTCTGTTCATATTTGTATATACTAACATTCTACTCTAGGCCGTGGTAAACGCAAGTTTGCGGCGGTACATGATGACGGAAACGAATCACTCCGCTCTTCTCTCGCGGGAATCAAACACGATCCCGCCGATGACTCGGACCGAACGAGATCCGCGAGCCCTCTGCCATCCAAAGCATCAGGCCTGCACATCAACACCCTATTGAACGACCCCGCCCGTTCCTCTTCGTCAGCGTCGCACGCCAACCCCACCATCAAAGGACGCGGCCGCGGCAACTGGCGACGCGACCCCAATACCAAACGTCCCTACAACCGCCACCCCGACAAAAACGCCCCACCCGCCGAGCCCGTTCCCCGCACCGATTCCCCAGCCGGCGGCTCCAGCCCCGTCATCGGCCCCCACGGCTTCTATCTCCCCCTCAACGGCGCCGAGCCCTCCCACAAGCGCTCCCGCCCACTCACCAACCACCAGCAAGCTGTCGAAAAATACCGCAAGCGCCGCGTCGAATACATCCTCGACCGCCGCCTCCGCGAGAAATTGTCCGCCTCCAAACACCGCCGCGACCGCGACGGCCTCTTCCTCCGCGCCTGGATGCGCTGCCAGGACCTCGGGAGCGACTACGACAGCGACGAGGAGCTGCTCGCGCACCCGATGCACGTGGCCGAGCGGACGGGCGCCATGGGCGGCGCGCCGCTCCTCGCCGGGCTCTATCCCCGGCCCTGGGAGCAAGAAAGCAAACGCCCTGACGAGATCGAGGGAAATCCCGAGGACGACTGGGGCGAGGAAGCCGGGAGCTTGGCGAGCGCGCTGCGGCGGTGGGAGCGGCGCGTGGAGCGGCGGGAGAAGGGACTTCCGGTGGTAAAGCGGGCGAAGCGGGTGAGGTCAGAGCCAAGGTTTGAGATGGAAGAAGAGGAGGAGGTGGCCGTGGAGCCGGTGGGGAAGAAGCGGAAGGGGGGGAAGAAGAAGGGTGGGAGGAAGCGGGGGGCGAAGGTGATGGAGGAGTTGGTGGTGGTGGCGAGTTCGCCGGTGAGGGAGGCGGTGATGAGTGTGGGGGAGGGGGAGGGGGATGGGGAGGGGGATGGGGATGGGGATGGGGATGGGGATGGGGATGGGGATGGGGATGGTGATGGTGATGGGGATGGGGATGGGGATGGTGATGGTGATGGGGATGGGGATGGTGATGGTGATGGTGATGGGGATGGGGATGGTGATGGGGATGGGGATGGTGAGGGGGTGGATCAGACTGGGGAGGTTATGGATGTGGATGGTGAGGAGTATGAAGGAGAGATCGATGAGGACTTGGTGGGCGATGAGGACGAGGGCCTGGCGATGAACGCTGGCTACCCGGCGAGTGATTCGCGGGAGTATGATATGGCGGACGCAAGCGATGTGGACCGGACGGGCGAGTTGGAGGACTAGGACACGGTTGTTGTCTGATTTCACCCAACGTGGCGTGAGGGATGTGGGATATGGATGTACCGCAGTACGCTGGTTTACTTACGAATGGCTGTTGTTGCATAGGTACTACTCAAACGTTGTCTCGGTAGCGAGCACGAAATCTAACAATAGGATGCTTCAATAGTCCTCATGTTTAGCGTGTACATTGTTCGTCCGATATCAATAGTCCAGATGATAGGTACCTACTCCGTTAATGTCCTCCCGTTCGCATCAACTCATGTCCTTACCTCCTTGAGCCGCTTGAAGACTTTCCCCAGCAGTTAGCAGTTAGCTTCCCCTTCTTCGTCACATCCGGAATGGGACTTTTAACTCCTGAATCAGATTCCCTGTCTCTCACGTGTCCGTATGTAAGTGCGGAATAGCTGCCTAACTAAGGAAAATTCTCAATCCCTTGAGCCTCGACCCTCGTTGATGACCATCTTCAGTTCCCCACTCTTCAGTCTTCACCCTCCACGGACCGATGTTGGGGATCCCTCCTCATAACCTCCACGCCCGCTCGCGTGGCATCCCCGTCCCCTGAGTGTACGACACCCTCACATCCCAGGATATTTCTTGCATTTATGACTTATGCAGTTCGAATCGTCGAAGGAGCGAACTAAATAAGCGACGCAGCCACGCAAAGCTATCGATTTGATCGTTGGCCGTTGGCCGTTCGCCAACAATTTTGACATGGAGATAAGATGTTAGGCACTAGGTAGCAGGCTAGGGAGTCGAAATAGGGAGTGGTAGTTGGCGGAGGTGCCTGCGGGGACCCCGGAGTGCCTTTGCGCACTGCCACAAACGCCACCGTCAGCAGCGTTGCATGCGTGTGCAGGTGACTTCCCTGTGCAGGAGACATGGACCTGATCGCAAATTTGATGTCAACTTGTCAAGCCATCCATGATCCATGATCCATCAGCCAAGGGTTCCGTCTGAAGTTAAAATTACATCCGAGATCCGTTTAGGGCTTCAAGCTTCAACTCTTGGACAGTGGACGATAGTCGATACAAGTTCCTGGGGTCGGTCGGTGGGATCATGGCGGTCAGCCTGCTGCTCGATCAACTTCCAGGTCTTTCCTGTCTAATCGACCCGACGCAGTGGTGATTTCAGTTCATCGACATAGTGTTGATGTTTAACTGCAACTTTGCTCGATCTGCTATCAGTTATCACAACCAATTGCCAACTGATGCTCTCTCTTTATGGTGCTATGCTGTCGGATGAGGGAAGTCGCGGATGCCTCCACGAGTCAACGATACGGTAAGGGGAGCTATGGCCGCGGGTGAGCTGGGCATACTACGTAGTATACTAGTATGCATCCCGTTGCTCGTATAAATGCTTGCTCTCGCTCTATCCGCCAGCTTGGTAATAGTACGTTGAACTAAAGCTACTAAAATGACTGAACTGCCTTCTGTGGCGCGTAGGATTCTGCCTAGTTAGGAACCCCCAGAGGTTGGGAGTTGGTACTAAACCCTCTCCGCGCAAGTAGGTACGTACTACATACCGTATGCGCTTCTAGCCTTCAACATTTCGTTCATTATCTTCGACGCGCTCATTTCCTTTGTTTGTTTCCAGGATTGCGTTGGGAGTTTCTGGCTTGGTCACTTGTAATCATTGGTCGGAATTCCAGCGTCGTGGTAACGATATCGCTTTGGGCAAGATTACTAGGCACATGCCACATGGGCATCTAGAAGTCAATATACTAGTTATTAGAAAGCTTTCTTCTAAGCGACCTTCGCTGACTGGTCATTGCGGGCCGACTCCGATCGCCAGTAATTGATATATTGTCTGACTCCCGTTCAAGAACTGTCACACGGCGCGCTTCATCCCCTCCTTTATGATTTGCAGTCGCTCGCTATATTTTTTTTAGTTATTTTTTTTTGCCGTCTGGTTCCCAGACATGAAGTCACTCGTTTTTCTCGTAATTCAGCTGGCGGCCAGCGCTGTCGCCCTTGGTCCCCTCAAACGCCAGGCCGCCGCCGCTACCGTAGCCAGCGGATGCCACAAGATCGCTACAGATACGGACTACCCGGCGAAGAGCGTCTGGCAGCAAGCGCTTCCAGGCGTCACGGCCATCGACCCCTCAGCGTTCGGGACTGATCCCGCCCCCGATTACCGCTATCGTCCGCGAACTTCCACAGATGTTGTGAATGCCGTGAAGTTCGCGACCAAGTACAACATCCGATTGACGGTCATCACTTCCGGACACGACTTTTTGTGCCGTAGCACCAGCTCTTCCGGTCTTCTCCTCGACGTCTCCCTCCTCACGGGCATCAGACTCTCGTCGAGCTTCAAAGCTAAAACTGCAGGCGTCACCCCCATCCGTAGCGACGAAACCCCCAAAGCCCTCAAGGACTCATGCAAGGAAGCCGTCGTAACGTTTGGCGCTAGCTATGGGGGCCAGCCGTTGAACGATGCTCTTTCTGCTGTTGGAATGGTTGCGGTCGCTGGAAATCACGGTGCCGTCGCCCCGGCCGGCGGATGGGGTCAGACCGCCGGCCATAGCCCGCTCGCCAACCAGTTTGGCCTGGGCGTCGACCAGTGGCTCGAGGCAAAGGTCGTCACTGCGGATGGCAAGCTTCGCGTTGTCAACTCCGTCTCTAATTCCGATCTCTTCTGGGCCATCCGAGGCGGCGGGGGCGGCTTCGGCGTGGTCGTCGAGGCCACCATGAAGGTCTACCCGGACGTACCCGTCACCGGCATTAACTTCTGGCTCAACTCGACGACTCCGGATGTCAATAGCGAGGGTCTCGAAAAGGCTTCGCAAGCCCTCTGGGCCGCACTGCCGGACATCCAGGCCAGCGGTATCTCGGGCTACTTCTTCGGATCACCGGGATACATCCGAGGTACCAGCGTCCACGTTGGTGAGCTTTCGAACGTTACCGACGCTTACAACGCTTGGATTCCGGTGCTCGAGAAAATGCAGTCCTACGAGGGCGTCCTCCCGTTCCAGTCCCGGCCATTCGTCTACGCAAACTTCAAGGAATACTACGACACCACATACGGCGCGCGATCCTGGCTCGCCGCCCCCACCGGACCGGATTACAACGCCAAAGCCAAACGTCACGACGCTGACGACCCGCCCGCCCCGCGCGGTTTTGGCTGGGTCCCGACCGACAGCGTGCTGTTCGGACCCGACCACATGAAGGACCCCGCCCTTCTGGGCGTCATCAAAACCCAAGCCTTATGGAATATGATCATGACCACTCCCAAACCCGGCACCACCACAAATATCGGCAAGCAGACCTCCGCCCATCCAGGCTGGAGGAAGGCCACGGCGCTCATGACGACCATCAACCTGGGCGAACTGGGCAACGCGGACGCCGCACGCGCGTTCGCGCCGGATATGGGCGGATATATCAACGAGGTACGTTCCCCTCCACACTCACATTCACACCACTAACTCACCATTCCTAGGGCTGGGCCGACGACCCGAACTGGAAGCAGAACTTCTGGGGCCTCGATAACTACAACCGCCTCTCCGGCATCAAGACCAAATACGACCCAAAAAATGTCTTCTGGACCACCCCCGGCATCAACGCCGAGCAGCGCCAGTTCATCGACGGGCGCGTCTGCTTCGCGACCGGTGCTTCGAACACTACCGCGGCGCCAATCACCGACTCGAAGCCGGGCCCTGACCCCGTGAAGCTCGCCGGGTATCTCATTGCGGAGCTGACGGGGAAGTTCCCGGCGCCCGGCGAGTATGTCGGCGTGCAGCCACACTAGGGTTTCGCGGTCCTTTGGGGTGCCGCGGTCGCCTTCCGGGCGTCAGTGGCAGCGTAGAATTGCAGTAGAATGTATCGACGTTTGGAGGCTGAAGGGATTTTGGGCGACCTTTTTCTGTTGGGAAGGGGAACTGGGGAACATGTTCACGTCATTCGATGTATTATATATATATATGTATGTTGTGGAACTGATATAGACGACCTACGAACTCAGGCTGTACACAGCCCGCTTTAATCAGGTGCAGATGCGCCGCCGTAGACTCATATGCTAGTTCTGCGAGGAGGTTGAGGAGATTGCTTTGTTGTGGTGACACGCCGAAATCGCTGCTCCCTCCCGGACGCTTACTATGATACAATAATAACAGAGGCCTTCGTGGTGAAAGGCACTAGACGGGGGCATCCACTTCATGGCCGTTCCCATTACAGGTCAGTAATAGGAAAGGGTTTAAGAGTCTAGTCGCCCTAGGTAAAGATTTGCTATTGCGATTTACAATTTTTGCATTCGTAGCAACCCCATTACACCTCCATCGACATCTCAACCGAGACTCTAATCGTAATGATCAGTGATATCCACTGTTCAGTTGACATATGTCGCCACCCTCACCACACCTAGTTATCAAACCGTCACATCCTGCTCGCCCTCCCGTCATTCAGAACTCCGTGTATCGTTTGTAATGTTCTAGGTAGGCCAGCGCATATCCTAGAGCCATCAATCAGTTCACCTTACCGTGTCATCTCCTTCGGAAAGGGGTCCCTCTGAGGATGATAACCATGACCAGCGAGAGGGAAATGGATCCATCTTGGACGGTTGTAGTATGTTTCTCGAACAGAAGCACACGGAAAGAAATGCAGGAGATGTTGGGAGCTGGGTTGGAGTTTCGTTCAGGGAACTTTGCCGTTCGGGGATCTGGCGATGTCCATTCTACACTCGCAATCAGCATTCATAGTCCCTTATACTGCTCCGTAGTACGACTGGGGTATTTCGCTGATGAGCGCGGAGCTGACGACTTTTCCTAAATCTGCTTCGCTCGGTGAGCGACGGAGATTGCTAGCATTCCACTAGACCTAGAAGATATTGTCGAATGTACTTCAAGTCTGTTCGAAATGTGTAGGAAGGGAGGGAATGTGGTGTAAGCCTAGCCCAAGACGACGGGTGTTCTGGTCAATAAGTGTATTTTGTCCGTCCAGTCGCTATAGAGGTATATGATCATGTCTAGGCGATTCGGACATGCTGCAGCTCTCCATGTCCTCCAGATGGTCCTCATGTCGAACGACTACAACAGGTCAGCTTATAGGGAGTGATCATGATTGTAAACTGCATGACCGAGGGCAAATCCGCAGAAGACGCCCAGCTGGGAGGTCAGGGTATTTGATCAAGCTGAGAGATTCGTAGGAGATTGGTATTCATTGCATCATTTAGCTGAGAAGGAACAATCCACACCGACCTCTGCTTTCACTCTTTGTAGCACAGAGTAGATACATTATCTTGTTTTCCCGCGAGACAGACTGAATCCACTGACGTAGGTAGGTAATTTCAGACGGAGACAATATAGTGGATATATAGTGTTCATGATATAGATGAGTTTGGAAAATGAACCTTTAGCCGCAAAAGATGACTTGGAACTCATGAATATAGGGCAGCAGTGAGGGTAATCGGAGAATTGAAAAGAGTGCATATTGTTCCGTCTTACGCATACTTGCTATACATTCAGCCAGTTTCATTAGAATATAAACACACTAACATATGCTAAGGAGAACGGATAGAGAATTAACTATCAGAATGTATCTTTCTAATCTGAACGAGTGGAGGTTGAGGGAACAGACCTAGACATCTCTCTAGATGTTTGTATAAAGAAAAACAACCCTGAATTTTAGTAACAAGACGATGTAGATGGAAACTGAATGGATAGCTTTACGGATGAACGACTGACTGGATAGATTTGACATATGACATGAAATTTTCGGATAATCCATATGCATTTCCGAGTCTCTTGAAAGCCGGGGGGTTGTCAGTACAGCCGCACCATATTGTTCGTCTCCGCAAGACGAGGCTCGACTGTTTGGGCTGTAAGATAAGGGAGTATATATTCAAGCATTGGACGCATGGACTGATGTGAAGCAGAGGTACGCGAACGGATAATATGATGATACACATCCGACAATGCGAAGGAACACCTCGACCGTCCATTGTCCCAGATTCCCCGCCTTCGTTATCAGAACCAGAACCCCACAGTACATGAATAAGAACTTGCTCATTTGCAGAATCGATGCTGTCGGCTTGCCCGAGCCGTGGAGACGAGTATATGGCCATCATGAGTTCATGACGGCCATTACGGGTGGTACATCTCCCATTCTGAGGGTGAGCAACATAGTCAATAACTGCACATCACCGCAGATTCTCCTCGTGGTACAAATGGTTATTCAACCAGGTGTGGTATATCGTTTATGTCACGGCCACGATTGGTTGTGAGGATACGACGTCGTTAGATTTGTGATCCTACACCACCCATTCATATGCCTGGACTGAGGGGTAACTAAGGGTGGTACTGGAGCGGGCGGATATGATTCGCGCCACATAAGGATGGCTTGCCCAACGAAGGTGCAACAGTCAGAGAACCAATGTCCCGTGATGAGAATTATCTGCCTGTCGTCTCATGCGGCTGTTAGGTCATCCGTATTGCTGGGTTCTGTCCAACAAGCTGCAACACTCGGACCCGCAAAGGGGGGGCCGCAAACTCGGAACGGATGGAGGACCGTGGTCCGTGAGGTCTGCGGTTTGGGAGTTAGGACTGTAAATAAGTATGTACTAACTAATGGTAAAAAGGAAAAATGGAATATTAATACATACTCCGTATTTAATGCAGATATTTCCGTGGAACCCTTGTCGGGGATGTGTGCCGGACAGACTGCCGCTTGCCAGTGATTCAGGGGTGGGGAAGGTCGGCTCGCCGCCTCATCTCTTAGGTGTTAGATGTTGGGCCTTAGACCTTGGACTTTCGAGGTCGGTGTCTCAGTAACAACTGACAAGTGAGTGACACTTGACAAGGGGAGGGCTTTGAAATTTGAATGGGGGTGAACAGTTACCTCCGTCCTACATCATACTTGCAGGAATCGATATTCATGCAGAATTCCTGAATTCCAACGATCGGAGGGCACAGAGCCTTTCTCGTCGATTAAGACTTGTGTTGCATAAGCTCCACCAGATGGATTATTTGGTTGGTCGCGCATCCAGGAATACCTAAATCAAGAGTGTGGGTTAGTTAGACTGTTGGTGGCTGTTGATTTATGATTATCGCAATAATATTAGTACAACACTTTCGGCCTTCGGGGGCATCTGACTGGAATCACTGGATAGAAGTTCACAACAGCAGCTGTTGGACATCAGCTTTTTGAACGGTTCCTCCTGCGGATTCACATCGATGACCTTGACTTGTATTCGAGATAAAGTCCCCTTAGTGATTTTTCTCTTTCTTATTCTCATCTAAACATCTGGACTCCGGAGGCTGGAGGGTATTACTACGTATGTAGTAAAGTTATACCTAATGGACACAGTCCCTCCCCTGGCCCTCCCCTCTTTCCCAAGGACGTTTGAACTTCGAAATGTTCCATCGAGCACGGTGCCGCATTTGGGGGTGATCAGCCACTGTGATCACAGTTTCCCGTCTCATCACTCAAGGTCCAAGGAGTCAAGGTCCAAGGTCCGGTAAGGGGGGATTGGGATTTGGGGGTGTGATTGTGGCGCGCTAGGCTACATGGGGCTGGGAGGATGGATCCGCTCAGCATCATTTCCGTCATTCGTCGGATAGAAATGGGAGGTGGGTATTGGATGATTGGAGATAATATGGAGTAAAGAAAGGCTTCCTTTAAATATCAAGTCGGAGAGCGAAATATCAAATACCTACGATTCGGCCCATTGGCTGATGAGAAAAGGAGCACGATGGATGATTCAGGGGATGATAATATTCGAATTTCGAGATGAGAGGCACCCGGTAGCGCGGGAAATGGCGGAAATGGCGCCTCAGCCGAGAGGAAACCTGCACTCATCCTACAGCTTAATTCTTAACCGGCAAATCTTGCAGATGCTGGATCCAAATGCTAGTCCTAAGTTCCGAAAATCAGAGTACATTTTATCCCGTTCGCAGCATTTATCTACAAGTCATTGATATTCCGAAACCATGATGGTGCAGATGGCCACTTTTGATCGACATCTCCTTTCCCTCGGGCTCGAATTGCTCGTCATCAGCAGTGGAGGTCACCAACCTCGCCTCAATCCTCATATCGCATGTATCTCCGCCCCTACGGAGTACAGAGCACTCCCTATCCTCTTCAACAGCGTCGTCCAATCCCATCACAGATTATTCCTCGTTCTTGTGCTGCTGGTGCTTATTAATATTATTAGGTGCCTGCTCTTGTGATAAGTAGGTATTTAATATCTGGTGATATTCCCATCCCGGACCCGCCGTACAGTAGTGCCTAGCACTTAGCAGCGGGCTTGTTCTCACGCTATCCATTTTTGACTCTGCTCATTCTTCGTTTTTGGATTCGACTCTCGACTCTCGATGCTCTGTTCTGGATAGCCGCTCCAATACATTGGAATACTTAATACGCGTGGCTGTAAATGCGTAGTGTTGTAGCCATCCCCTCATCATTCCCAACCCTCATCATAGCCTGAATACTGAGAGGAATTCTATCTTGAGTCACTATCCGTCTGTCCGCGACTGGGAGCAAACTCCCCCTTGCTCGTTACCCTGTCCATCAACAAGCTAAAAACTCCACCCTGGTGTTCCGACAGGTGCTACGCCGCGACGGGCCACTCTCCATTCCCCCCCTCGCTTCCGTCCCAATTCCCAGGGACCCCGTAACAGGGACCGCATTGGCCCTGGCTATCAGGGAACGTCCACTTGCCCAGGAACGAGCAGGCGTTGAAAGTCGGAAAGTCCTGAGGCAAAGGATCATCAAGCTGGTCTGAGCCGACGGTGCCAACGATTGTCTCCACGCATTCGTCTTTTCCCTCCTCCTCTCTTTGTAGAAGCCAGCAAAATCCCGCTGCATCACAATACCAGACTCGAGAGACACGCCGACCGATTCGACCGAAGTTTCGGAGCCTGGATGGATCGATTCACCCCATCCGACGACGCATAGACGGGTCCTTGGGCTCTTTGGTGGCTGCTGGTCGCTTAGACGGCTTACATACCGGTATTCATGTGAACAGGGACTGCGCGGTTCTTGCGCAGCTTTCACTTCTGCAGACTCTGCTTACTGCACAACCGAGTAAAAGAGTGTGAGCAGAGAAGTGAGCAGAGAAGTGAGCCGAGAAGTGAGCCGGAAAGCAATCCGAAGGAAAGTAAGATTGTTCTGGTGTAACGAGGAAGCAACGAGCCATCCATCATGGCGACTACCACCACTTTACCACGGCCTTCACGACCTCCAACCACACCACTACCCTCGTTACCGGTCTCGAAATCGCGAAAATCCTCAGTCTCTTCCATTCATACAGCTCCTTCACAGGGCCGTCGTGGCTCGGCGGCATCAATCACTGTCCCGTCCGCCCCAAAACCTTCCGCATCGCGATCGGTGTCCTCTGGAATCCCGACACGACCCCCAAAGAATGCTTCTACACCCGCAATACCGACCGTAAACGGTGCTTCGAAGCCGCCATCCGCTTCTACCACCACTCCCTCGGGCACTGCCACTCCTGGACGTTCTCTCCGTCAAACGGTCAGCATTGGCGCCTTTCCACAACCTCCCCGGAACGCTCAACGCTCCACTTCACACCCCCCGTCTCCCCTCTCCCACTCCGCTACCAACGCCTCTGGAGACACTCTTAAGACGCTTCGCACCCCGTCGGGCACCCATACCTCTCGCGTCGTACCTCCCCGCACCTCCTCCAAACCCCACCCACGCGTCTCGCTTCGCAAATCTTCCTCCACTACTTCAGCCGTATCGCTTCTGTCCGGTGGTGAATACCGATCGATCAACAGCGCCACGTTGCTCTCACTACCTACCTCACCCCTCAGCCGTGCATCTAGCGTGGACAACCTATCCTCGATCACATTCGAGGACGACGACGATTTTGGGAGGGGGCGGGATTTGATGAGGGGGAGTAAAGAAGACATGGCCTATGGTAGTGGGAAGTCGGTGGAAGGGGGTCGCAGACACAGTGAAAAGGATGGGGGAAAGGGGAACGTGCTGGTCAGTGTCCGAGTGCGGCCTGATGTTGGGCATGATGGACAAAAGAGCGAATTGGAGTGGATGGTTGACGGAAGACGGTCTTTGATATCGTATCGTGGAAGGGAAGGGGGAGAGTATTATTATGGTAAGTTCCCGGCGATTGCACGTGCTCATATATTGTGCTAACAGCCATGTTCTAGACAATGTCTTCGCTGCGCACGACCAGAATGCCAAAGTCTACGATTCTGCCGCAAAGCGTCTCGTGCGCCGTGTCATGGAGGGTTACCACGGCACCGTTTTCGCCTATGGTATGACAGGCACTGGTAAGACCTTTTCCATGCAAGGTACGGCCACCAGCCCTGGTGTGATCCCACTTGCCATCACCGACATCTTCTCCTTCATCCGCGAAACGCCCCATCGAGAATTCTTGCTGCGGGTCAGCTATCTGGAAATCTACAACGAGAAGATCCACGACCTGCTATCGACCCCGGCTGCCGGTGTGAACGGAATGACGGGAGGTCCGCAAGAAGAGATTAAACTACGGGAGGATAGCAAGAGAGGCGTCTACGCCACGCCGCTGAAGGAAGAGATCGTACAGAGCCCGACGCAGTTGCTGAGAGTGATCGCTAGAGGTGACAATTCTAGGCGGACCGGATCGACGCAATATAACGCGAGAAGTTCCCGTTCGCATGCCGTCGTGCAGATCGTCGTTGAGTCGCGGGAACGAAGTTCACCACCTGGCGCCTCGGCCCCAGGCGCCGACAAGCGAACGGGTATTGCTCCAGGTGGTGTTCGCGTGAGTACACTAAGCTTGATCGATTTGGCCGGGAGTGAACGGGCTGCAGAAAATAAGGAGCGAAGGACGGAGGGAGCGCACATCAATAAGTCCCTGCTTACGCTTGGAACTGTCATCGGAAGATTGTCCGGGGATAAAGATGGAGACAAGAAGGGGGATGGCAAGGAGAAAGATGGTAAAGACGGCCTCAAGCATTTACCTTACCGCGACTCGAAACTCACCCGACTCCTCCAACCCGCACTCTCAGGGAACTCTCTGGTTTCAATCCTTTGTACCATCCAAATCGGGTCTGCGGGATCCGTGGCGAGCGCTCAGAATCACACTGGCGAGACGTTGAATACTCTCAAGTTCGCTTCTCGTGCCAAGAACAATATCGTCTCGCACGCCAAAAAGGCGGAGGAAGCTCTCGCAGGTGATGCAACTTCCCGAGCTCTTCTTGACCGGTATCGAGTGGAAATCCTCGAGCTCCGTCGCCAGCTCGAAGGGCAGAAGGACGTTTCATCCAAAGGCGGCGCATCGGGCGCGATAGGCGAGCCCGATCATGATCCGGAGTCGGCCGCTCTCGACGCCGAGGAAGAGCGTGAGCGGAAGGCCAAAGAAGAGGAAGAGATGCAAGCTCGCCACGAAGAGCAAATGCTCGAGATGCAGCTTGCACGTACCGCCCTGAAAGAGCGAATCGAGCACCTCAACCGCCTCATTCTATCATCGAAATCCATCGGCGTCAATCACACACATAATATGACCGTACCTCGCAGCGTCTCCGCCCTGGGCAATAGGCCTACTGCCCATTCCTCCCGCCAATCCCTCATGTCCGCCGCCGATCTTCAACTCCCTCTCAGCCGCCAAGCGTCCACCACCTCCGCCCGATCTGCCTCCACGACCACCCTCGACGCAAACGGCGCTCCACATCCTCCCACCGCCCTTCGCCGCACCGAATCCGGCTCCGCTTCCCTCCGCTCCCTCCAGCGCCACACCTCCGCCTCCCGCCTCTCCACCGCCTCCACCCCCGCCACCCACGGCGTGCACCCATCCCCAGCCCTCAACTTTGCCGCCTCCGACGCCGACTCGACCGACAGCCTCGGTAGCAACGGCGACGGCACCGCGTCCCTCTCAACCCAACTGCACGCGCTGCGCGCCGACGTCGCCGACAAAAACCGCTACATCAATACGCTCGAGCGCCGCCTGCTGCAGGCGCGCCGCAGCTCCAGCAGCCGTATCTCCAGCGGTTTCTTCGGCGGGCCGAGCGGTGCCGGCACGAGCTTCTGCGTCGCGTGTCGCGAGTCCGCAGCGAAGGACGGGAAGGACGGCGCGGGGGTCGAAGTAGTGTTCCAGGAGAAGGACCGGGAGATCAGCGAGCTGAGGGGCCGGGTGGGCGATCTGGAGCGGATGTGTCAGGCGCTGAGGTCGCGGTTGCGGCTTGGGGATCTGAAGGTCGACACGGGGAATGGGGTGGGGTTGGGATTGAACGTTGGTGGCTCCCCTGCGAGTCGCACGGTCAGCCCGATTCTGGTGAACAAGCGAGCGAGCGTGCGGAGTCAGAGTAGCGGCGGGAGTGGTGGGAGCGCAGGCAGCGCCGCCGCGTTGAACGCCGCGGGGCCGGTGGCAACGAACGAGGCAGGGCCGGTGGCACCGAACGGGGTGAAGCACACGCCGGTTGCGCTGCTGAACGGTGGCACGGAGAAGGAGACGACGGAAGGCGAAGAGCGACGGCGGGGCGTCGAGGAAATGACGCGGTTGCTGGATCAGATGATCACGGAGCGGAGCCGGATGAGCTTTGCGGGGGGCGTCTTGAATATTGATGGGGACGAAAAGGCGGAGGGAGGCGCGGTTGGAGGCGCGGTTGGCGGCGTGGTTGGCGGCCCAGCGCTCGGCACCACGGAAGAGGAGGAGGTGAGGGTGGATAGTGGCATTGTGGTCGGGAAATGATCTCAGTTTCCCATCCTCTTTCTGACTCCTGTGGAGAAGATCCGGTCATGGATTTCCAAGCAATGCGCTTTACGAGTTTTCCGCGCCCGACGAGCCTTTCATTCTATGTCTGCATGGGCGATTCACAGGACTGCAGTGACAAACTGCCCGCTCGAAGGAAGAGAACGAATTGATTTGATGGCGTCATGTGGTATTCAAGATGTTGCGGAACTGGCGTCCCCGATGAGCTTTCTATTTCGTTCTATTTTTTCTTTCTTTCTACTTCTCCACCGATACCCTTTCTTGGATTCTTCCATCTGTCGTTAAACCATACCCATACCCACTTTGCATCGATCTTTTTTCGTCTACACTTTCTTTTCAGCGAGCTTCACAAGGCATCAGGGCATCGGATAGGGGGTCTCTCTTCATGGATGGTTTCCGCGACGAAGACGCCTGGCGCAAGCCGGGCTTGGAGTCCCACTGCATCCTGTACGAGACTTGCTCTGTTTTGTTTCTCTTTTCCAATCCAACGAGTCCACTGGTCGGCATATGATACTATCATGTATATTAAGTTCATGGGTTTGCTGCATGAGGAGCCGCTAAATGTACGAAAGAACGAAGGTGTCAACACCTTGGTCTACCAACTGAGTGATTGCGATATGTAAGGAATGGATCCCTTATTGCATTGAAATAGGTGGGTAGGTAATATGGTAAATTACCTCACAATCAAGGGGTTAGAATAGGGTCTTCAATGTTGGGCAGTTGAATGCTCGTTTCGTGTCTTGCTCCCTTACTGATATACCAATACCAGTACTGTATCTGTATCATATGTCCCGTCCGCTTCTGGTCTTTCTTGTTGTCTGCAACAACAATTCCTACCTCGCTTTATTTCATCGATTTGGCTCCATTCGCAATCGCTGAGGCATCAGTATCCTTGCTCATTCATCCCTTGTCAAGCTACCATGATCTACACCTTTTGACAGCTGAGGGCAATCTGGATGCCAGACTCAGTTGACCATACAGCATACTATCCTGACGTGCCAGAAGAAAACACAATTCCTTGGTCGCGTCGATACTGTACACAATGGACTCACCATCTCAGACATCCAGTATTCCAGTCGTTCTTTCATGACTCAGAGTGAAGTCGGCGCAATGAATGAGACTTGCGCTGCCGTACTTTACTACCTGCACTGCAACGTGTACAAGGCAGAGTTGTGGCGGAGCAACATGGCCGAAGAGTCTCATTTTCACAATAATCAATCCTTTGTAGCCAACCTTTTCATGAATATACGAACCGGGTACAATGTTATACTTGGCGTCTTTGTCCTCTATTGTTGCACGATCAAGTTTAACCGCCTGGTTGTCCCAAGTTAGGTGACGTTCAAGGCAATTTCACGTGACACATTAGTGGTCATGTGATTTGCCAGGACCCACGTGCCACACCCCCCTTTGTTATCTTGTATTCTGGTTGGAAATTAGAGTTTAGACGGATTCCTAGATTTGGCTGGGAAACCATAATAGTGACGAGAACCCATACATAGTAGACCAAAGACCAGAGTGCAGAGAGTACTCCGTATCGGAGGACGTATTTAATGGAAACGTCGCACGACATCATGGCGTGTTTCAAGTGGGCGGGCCAAGCGTATCAGAGCCCTTGTCCACATCCCCTCCCTCTCTCTAGTGACTCTCCTTCTCACACATCTTGTCCCGGAACGACATCCCTCACGTCAATCGTTCCGACCGGCGCAAGTCCGGTCCCATCGAACTTCTTTGAATACAGAAGGTCAACATGGTGGTCGTCATTCGAGCCTTGTAATCGACAAGATCATCAAAGGGGCACATAAATGGTCTCAAGGTGAGCGGCAGCGGGAGCAGCAGCAGCCATCCATTCATACGACGATGCAAGCTGCTGTGCTCCCATATTATGCTGGAATATCTCACAACGTCTCGGAATGAAGCTGATCAGGAAGGACCCCGGACCATATCCTGCTTTCTCGGCATAATTTGCCTGTCCTGTGGACATCTTAATGCATATACGCCGGGTCTGCCTCTTGCTAGTGCGATTCTTTTTTCACATCCATCCAAGTTAGCTTTCCGCTGCAACCAGCGCATCTTCGTGATGTCGCTCCGCCATCTTTCTTTGTCAGACCTTCTTGATCAATCCTGAGTCGAAACGTTATCTGAGTCCTCCAACCTGCTCATTCAATCTGGTGTACTCCGTTTGCCCTGTATGGGTCGACCCTCCTCCCGTTTCCGTGTTTCGGCCTGTAACAGGACCCTGTGGGGCGTTTGATAGGCCGTTGATCGGACGGTTCGACGATCCTCATCATATCAACTCGATCTACATTCTGGTCTTCCTTAGATCGCATTATCTTTTTCTATCCCTTTTGCCAAATTCCAACGGCCGGGCAACGGCACAACGTCACCGTCGACATTTCCTTCACCATTTCACCTCATTGAGAGCTTTCGTATACTCGTGCTAATGCTATAGCCCTACATTCGTTCATAATTTCTATTGCATTTGAAAGTGGCGTCTACCAGTTAAGACTCACCATTGGACTGGTGCTAATGCTATAGCCCTACATTCGTTCATAATTTCTATTGCATTTGAAAGTGGCGTCTACCAGTTAAGACTCACCATTGGACTGGTGACGGAGACACCAGGTCATCCGCCATGATTATTTCTTCACATCCGCGCTCTCCACGATCCGACATGCATTCTCGAAAGCCGACACATCTTTCCATATCATCTACATCCTCACTATCCCCACGACTTGGCGTCCCATTGAACCGACCTCTTCTCTCCCCCAGAACGCCTAGTTCTCCGAGCTTACCATCTCTAATCCCAAGGCACGGCAAAAGAACACCGCTTCGATCTAGCAGACTAGTATGGAAGCTTCTATTTCCACTCCTCGGAATCATACTCGTTCTATGGGGTGCGCTTCACATCCTCGCATATGGTCCGAGACTCTTCTCCCAATCTCCCCCCCAAGGATCGAATACATTACCACAACTACGGCCACCAAGACCTCGGCCGGGAGAAGCAGGCTATGAGATTGTTGGGGAGGATGCACCTCCGGACTATCCTACAGCTCTCATAGTTCATGACAAGGCTGGGAGACCGAGTTGGACAATTAGTATCCCTGAGCAGTACGATTTTCCCTTGGAGCAAAACTGGTATCATGAATTGTGCGAGCAGGCGCATGACATGCCGCATCACCTATCGAGGGTCGCGAAGGGCAGAGTGGATCACGAGCCGGGACAGCCTGACAAACCCGAGCGAGGCCTTACTGGTATGATGAAGCTTCGAAAAAAGAGACACGGGTACTATCAAACGGACAAATTCTTCATAGATATCGATGAAGCTGAAAGAGAGGGACTGCTACCACAGGTGGGGGAGGCTCAGGAAGCTTTGGTCGAAGATGAAGGTTCGGAGAATTTGAAAGTGTGCAAGCGGAGCCTTACATACGTCCTGGAGAGCACCGATGCCGGGTTTGGCAAGGCACTCATGGGCCTCTGGATGGCATATGGTCTTGCGGAGAAGGAAAAGAGAGCTTTCTTCGTAGATGACACCAGGTGGGCGTATGGAAATTATACGACCTACTTCCAGGATCCCCCGCCGCCATCTTGCCTTCCACCGCCGTCACACCATCGACTTCCTTGCCCGTACTCCGCTCGCCACAAAGTCATTTCTTCTGCCACGCATTCCTTCGCTTTTGGCCATCACTTTATTGAAGCGTTTGAGGATCCGAAAGGAATGGGGACAGCGCGACAAAAGAACATTTTTGCGCTTGCCCGAAGAGGGTATGAGGCGCTTTTCAAACTTGCCGATGAAGGAGACCAGAAATATGCAGACCAGCGGGTAAAGCAGCTCGTCGACCAGACAAGAAAAGAGGGCGGCATGGCTGTAGGAATGCATATCCGAAGAGGCGACCGACATCCGTACGAGTCACAGTACCGAGACGATTACTTACCTTTGACGAGATATACGGACGAGGGAAGGGAGGTTCTATACCAGCTGTTCGAGGACGGAGCGGAAGACGCCACTGGTCTGGGCATGATTACCCCCCACTCACAGCGCTCGAAGAACCGAAAATCCCGTTCCCCGTTCGCAAAGGCTGTCTTTCGAGCGACGCACGGTAAACGGCATGGCGCTCCTGGCTTGTCGGAAAGCAAGTTGATTCTTGCCTCGGACGATCCGGACATTTTCTTCGAGCCAGAGGTGTCACGCGCAACACGTGCGCAAGACCGGATTATTCTTGGCTCAAAGATTCAGATGGAAGCCGCCCGAGCAAAGGCGGCTGCTGAAGCGGCTGCAGCAAATCGTGGCAAGCCTGCGACTCCAATCAAGCGTTGGGTCGACGATATGCTGGGTTGGGAAGGAGGGTTCTACGCCGATGTGTTCTGGTCGCTCGGTCATGACCACAAAAGTAAACAGAGTACCGTTGGAGGCCCTCGGCCAAACCGCCAACGGCCGCCATCGAATCAGAAGTTAAAGCCAATACCACCGAAGGTAAAGCCGGTGGAGCCACCGCAACATGAAGACGACCCTTCAAAGTTGGCTTCCAACAATGGTGGCCATTCAGACGTCAACTCGCCCGGCTCCAGTCTATCAAACGCCGGGATTTCGGACTACATCCCACCGAGCCAGGAGACATTGCAGCTGCGAGAGATGCTCGCCAGGAGCTACCTGCTTGATCTCAGCATTCTCAGCAAGTGCGACGCGGTGGTCTGCGCGGTCAGCTCTGCAGGATGCAGGCTCCTCGGTGTCATGGTCGGTTGGGAGGGCATGCTTGGCAAGGAGGGACTCGGCTGGGACGGACACGTTTGGAGGAACGTTGATGCAGGAATCCCGGACTGGAGGGGTATTGTGTGGTAAAGGAGAATAGGGCTGTGCCCGCGTGATGATTCAATGACTTGGCATATTTGCATATAGGAGGCGTCTTCCTTGTGGAAGTGGGAGTTGGCTTGGATTTGATATTGAGCACGACGGCATAGCCGTTGCTAAAGAGTGTTTGGCGTTGGGCATATCGCATGATATGCCTAGGAAATGGAAATCGATTCTATTAGACTTGCATTGTTTATGATCGGTGGCAACGGTGGATATCAGACAAGCTTTACGACTGACAGGGTCTTGTGAAGGGATATTGCTGGTTAAAACAGTGCGTTGGTATCTTGCTGCCGCATTAGTCATTATGGGCTCAAACACGCTATCAATTTGCCTAGGACTCGTGAACTTTTAAATCATATTGACTCACCAGGTCTAATTGCTGCCAGTATAAAAAGGTAGCTACCGCCCAAGGTTCAAACGACTTCAATTGCATTATCCTTGAATCTATCAACCACTATCTTCGCGACAGCACCTCCTGCAGTAACACCTACACACAGGGACTACCGGTCTGAAGAGCGTATTAATTAAAATGTCCGTATTTAGTGTTAACACACATCTCGAGAACCATGAACTAGTCAACGTAGCTGACCGTGGTTCGCCTGAATGAACAGCATCAAGCAACTCCAAGCTAATATCAGCATTATCACGATGTGTACCCTTAAGCCGTCTAATCAGGGCGGCTTGTTCATTAAGGTCGCCGACTGCGGCTCGTCGAGTTGCTCAGCGTCAACCAAATATACGAAGTAATTAATAACAACGAAGGTGTTTCTAGCCGAAAAGGGAGAGTAGCTTACAGTCTAAGGGAAATATGATATCTTGAAACAGAATATCGGCGTTTAAATGCAATTATAAACCAGTAGAAATTGTCAGACTCCCTTGACACTATTCTTTTCCATGGCCAGGTTCTTTCGACACTGATGCGACTGATACAATAATTGTGCCCCTAAAGCGCCATTGTTAGACGTAATCCACAGCGCCTAGAGTCGGAAGATGTATCTTATCTATTTTAAACATAATTCAGTTTGGAAAACATGAACGTCACGGTCATCACTTGATTTATTACCTTATGTCGAATTGTATATTCTTGTATTGGGTCTGTATAGTTGGGCGTCGCACTGAATGCGAGCACCATATGAATCTGGTGCTTCAGATGAACATGAGCGAGATCATGAACTATCAAACAAAGTCATAGACCTTTAATCGCCTACTATGATTTCTTACTATACGCATTAATTGCAGCGCTTGGCTTGCCACCTTAGTCCCTCTTCCCCCTTTTAGCTGGTCGCAGAGATCCGGCTTGGAACAGGCGATCAAGGTGATCAACCCTCTCTAGGGAGTCCATTTAGCGAAGCAAACGGTAAATGGCAATGATAGATAGGATTTGTGCGACGAAAATTGTCGCCAATGCTGAATTTCCGGGAACTTGCGAAGGTGAATGGTGGCGGAAGTTGTCCTGTCGGAATCGAGTTTCGTGAGAATGAACCTGAATCTTCAAAATACCTAGGATCCCACGTGTTCAATGGATGTAAAACACCTGGAATGCAATGAATTTGTAGAACGGTTCTTATTTCCCTGAAATCTTTGTTTTCAGTCGATATTCTTTGTTCTGGACCCAGAACCTCAATATAGAAACTTGGTGGACAAAAGGTATCGACATTGTCAACCCACCATAGGAACAATGTGTATCCTATTCATATATTTCTTTGATGCTATATATATAGGCCAAACGGTTATATAAAGCGCCTGCCGACTCCAAGGTTCCAATCTTCCATCAGAAACAACCTCAACCAACCTTATATAACCACCAGTTAAATATGTATTGTCAAACCTTTAACAAGTTGCTGGACGCCTCCCACTGGATCTGCCGTCACTGCGGTGAGCAAACCCCGTTCCCTACACCGGACAGCGAAACTCTCGACTCCCGCAAGCCGACTCCGTCGAGACCGCTCGGCACCCTTCGCTGCCAAGCGTGCGACCGCGCCCTTTGCCTCGACTGCAAGATAGATTCTTGGGCTATCTGCAAGGTGAAGTTCGGTACTTACTCCGTGGTAAATGGTCGCCCTGACCTCGTTACACATGGCTTCGTGTGCCACAGGTGTGGTCGGTCTAACAAAGGGCGCGAAGGCCCCAAGAGTCTAATAGCTTTCGAGCCGTGCGAGTGCGGGCACAAGAACTTGCGATGCGCCAGTTGCATTGTCTTCTGCTTGGACTGGCAGCGGTGTTTAAACCCGGCTGTCCCAGGTGAAGCGGCGTTGATACGTAAGATTGGGAAAGTGGACGCGAACGATTGGGGAGTTGTGCTGAAGGACCAGACATACAATTTACAATCCTGCCGATGGGGAGAATGTGCAGGTTTGCAGATCAATACGATTGATTAGAAGTCGGTATTTGACTCCCAGCACTCGCAGCACTGACATGAACAGACCGATTTGAACTAGCTTGCTGGACAAAGACTATGATGAATTGCAGGCATGAGGCTGTCCCAGCAGTTGGAAAATGGAAACTAAACTCTAGATTGACATGAGAATAGGCAGAAAGAAATCAAAGTCTTCATTGGCAATTCTGGCAAACAATTGATTGAGAGTTGGACTCGATATTGAAAATGTAATCGCAACGGTAGGGTAGACAAGACACGAAAATGTTTTCACTGAGTGATCTCGGGGCAATATAAGCAAGGACAGATCTAACAGTGCATATTCCATAAACGGCCCTCATTAACGAGTCCGCCGGGGAAGCGGAGAAGAAAGCGGTCCCATGGGTTCAAGCTCAAAAGAGTCGACGACTGGCGAACTCAGACGGAGTATGACGATAAGAACGCAATGTAAACACAATCCATGACCAGTAGGCTTCGATTAGTTCCTCACTCAGAGCTTTATACAAGTAGCACTCTATCCCGCCATCAACCCCCCCCAACGTCATCCATCTCCCCCAACGTGAAATCTACCAAATAGCTCTCCTCCTGCAACTCATCCACCCTCTGTATATGCCGCTCCGTATACGCCGCCAGCGCCGCAACCACGTCCTTCAACTCCGCCTTCCCCTTCCGGAACCGCTTCCCCTCCGGCCCCCCGTCCGTGACCGTCCCTCCATGCAGCTTCGCCATCCGCTCCGCTGGCACGTTGCGCACGATCGCATAGAGCACCCGCTGCGCGGTGCCGGAGTTCTTGGCGCTGGCGTTCCAGTCGCGGAGCCAGAGGAGGAGAGCGAAGATTTGCGAGTCGCTGAGGGCGTTTACGATGGCGTTGAGGGTTTCGTTGTCGGTGTCGGTGCCGATCTTTCGGACTCGTCGACGCTGGTGGTGGGAGACGGTGGTCGAACTGACGTCGACATCCATGGTTTCACCGTCTTCGTGTGGATTGTGTGCTTCGGCGCTCTTTTGCAGAACCTCGGTGAACAGGCTCAACAGCGTGCTGGGTCGTTCCATGGCAATAGCTAACCCGACGGCCTCGCGCAACTTCCCGGCATACCGCAGGTTCGACAACTCCTGATCTTCCTCGATGATCCGCTCCTCGCGCTCCGCAGCGGCGGACGCCGTGGACGCCGACGTATCGCTCCAGAAATTGAGCACTGCGTCAGCGCCACCGGAGATCAGCGTGCGCGTGGAGAAGAGCGGATTATACTCGGAGTATGTCCCCGCGTTCTTGGCGGGATCGATCACGGCCAGGCCCCAGACGCGGTCCTCGTGGCCGTCCAACGTGGTGGCGCATTCGCCGATCGAGAGGTCCCAGACCTTGACAAGGCCATCCGCGGCCGCTGACGCTACGAGTGTTCGTTTGTCGGTGGATTTCTGCGGTTTGGCGGATCCGCCGTCTACGTCCATCTCGTCGTCATTGTTCGCGGACGAATCTACGGCCATCGAGGGCGATGGCAGCCACACCACCTTCAACACACTGTTCGAGTGCCCTTCGAGCGTCGCGACGCAGCTATAGTCGACCAAACTCCAAATCCGTACGGTCCGGTCTCCACCGCCGGTGGCCACCCATCCCTTCCCTTTCGCAGTCCCCTGGTGCTGCGCGCCTTGGATGGATATCGAAGGATCCAGGGGGCTGAACCGCACTGCCCACACACCGCGCGAGTGCCCGCGCAGGACACCGAGGGTTTCACCGCTCTCGACATCCCAAATCTTCACCGTCTTGTCCTGCGATGCGGAAGCGAAGACGGGGTCCCGGGGGTGGTATGAGGCGTCGAGAGCGTTGATCTCCTTGTCATGTGCCTTCCGTGTGTACTTAGCCTTCCCTGGCGTATTCGTTCTGCCGGGCACGTAAGGAGGGACTTCCCACCGTTTGACTGTTCGGTCCTGGCTGCCAGTCACCAACCAGCGTGGCGGTCGGGACAAAGGATCGTCGGTTTCGGGATCGGAATGCGACATTGCTATACCACCCAAAGCACCGGCGTGCCCAGTGAACACAGCGTGGCAGCCATAGGAGTTGTTCTCTGGATCCATCCTCCATATTCTGGCCGTGTTATCCTTCGAACCGGTGGCAAGCCAATGTCCTGATGGATCAACATCGATTGTAATGACAATGTCCTCGTGGGCCTTCAGCTGTGCAATATCCGAACCAAAGTATGCCCCAGTGAACGAGTCATTTGAGGACTCTGTATCCTGCCGACTTTCAAGGGAAACGATGCGAACCTCTTCGGTGTTTGTGGCCAGTGCTAGATACTTTCCATGTTGACCTATGAGCGCAAGATCAATGACCTCGTCATGTGTTCCGGATATGCGGCGCAATATAGGTAATGGAGGTATGGGCAGTTTTAAGCCGTCTTCGGTAAGCGGACTTAAGGAGTGCATCACCAAAGTCTGATCCGCATGGACGGATAGGAGGAAGGGAAGCTGGTCAGACGAAAGGACCGAGAGGATGGCTTCCGTCTCTGTACCTTCGTCCTGCTCGGCGGTGACTTCTTCTCCTTTCGTCGCCGACCATAATCGGACGCAGCCTCTCTCGCCCGCCGTAAAGATCACAGACCCGCCCTGCAAAAAGCCACAGCTTTCGACGGCTTCGAGCACTGGTATGGTGTTTCTGGTCTTCCACGTCTGAGTATCCCAAATTATGGCTGTCTGGTCGCGACTGGCGGAAACTAAAGCATTTTCCTCGGGGCAGTAGTCAAGCCCTCGGACTACCGAGACATGGGAATCCAGGATGGCGACGGTGGACCGCTTGAGGAGATTCCATACGCGCACCTTTCCGTCCTCACCGCCCGAGGCCAGTCGAAAGCCCGCGGTGTTGTTCTCCTCGGCCTGCTCAACTTCATTTCTGTTCGCTTTCCGCTTCCGGCCGGCAGTATTCTTGCTAGTTTCGGGATGCGTCGACGGGTCCACCTCGAAGAACAATAACGCAGATATGATCCCGCTGTGCCCGTGAAAAGTGTGCGTGACATACCCGCCGCGGATGTCCCAAACTTTGACGACGCCATCTGCGCCCCCCGTTGCAAGGAGTGTACCGGTCTTATCTACAGCGCAGACGATGACCGGAGCCGAGTGCGGCTTCAATGTGCGGAGCAAGGTTGCTTCGACCGTCGCATCTTCTGATGGCGCATCGATCGCGTATATCCGCATCGACAAGGAGCGGGAACAGGCGATGACATGGCTTGCGGAGGGGGTTACTAGGGCTTGTTAGAACCGTGAATCGAGATCGGAACAAACGTATGGCCGTACAGGAGAGACTCGTAACTATTTCACCATCCTACTACCAGTCAACATGTCAGAACCGGATGACGAGAGCTGCTATCTTGAGCACTTACGCCTTCTATCCGTGATAGAACTTGCCCGGATCGCATATCGGTGAGCAGGACATCCTCCCCAACGCAAGTCGCAAGGACTCGGCCATCCTGGCTCAGCGCAACACCCGCCCCGGTATAGAAGGGCTGGATGACCTGGGTGCGGTCGAACGTGGTCTTGAGGGTGGCCTTTTGAGACATTTCTCCGTCTGATCCAAGCTCTTAATTATAGACTGGGCTTCAATAAGAACGTGGCCCGTCGCACCTTACTGTACATGCATAGAAAATGAAGTGTGGAGTGAAATTGAATTATATTCCAACCTTTCCCTCCATTTCGAAATCTACAATCTGGAAAATTTCAGAGTGGGTCCAACAGACTCCAACTGGGAGTGCGTCGTTGGTCCGAGCTCAGCCAGGCACCTGGAGCTTCCGCGTCTCCATTCAACACTCAACTCCAACTGCTGGTGCTATTCCCGTTCACTTCTTCTACTTATATCCTCAAACGCCCCTTCAAATACATCTGCAAACATGTAAGGATCTCTCGCAATGTATCTTGCCATCGGAATAGAGCTAACGCGAAGTCAGGGAGGTCTTACTTGGAATCACCGGGAAGGACTTCACCATCATGGCCTCATCGAAGGCTGCGATGCGTGGAGCCACCATCCTCAAAGCCACCGATGACAAGACACGGGAGTTGAATAAGCAGACGCTCATGGCCTTTTCAGGAGAAGCGGGAGATACGGGTATGTAGTCAAGTTGCACAGCTATGGTGGACGGAGGCTGACCATACGGTTCAGTCCAATTCGCGGAGTACATCCAGGCCAACATCCAGCTATATTCCATGCGAAACGATACACATCTCGGTCCGCCGGCAGTGGCGAGCTTTGTCCGAGGGGAACTGGCGAGATCATTACGGAGTCGAAGACCGTATACTGTGAACCTACTCTTGGGCGGCTTCGATTCGATTACTGAGAAGCCGAGTCTATACTGGATCGACTACCTTGCATCATGTGTTCCCCTGCCGTATGCGGCGCACGGATATGCTCAGTATGTGTCAAGGTGTTGGGATGCATCTACAGGAGCTAACGGATTCTAGGTACTACTGCCTCTCCATTCTCGACAAGCACCACCATCCCGATATCGACCTAGAGACGGGAATGAAGATCCTCCGGATGTGCACAGATGAGCTAAGACGACGATTGCCAGTTGACTTCAAAGGGGTAAGCTAATCCAGCACGACGATGAGGACGTCGCCGAACTAACGCGATTGACCAGATTGCCGTAAAGATTATCACCAGAGATGGAATTCGGGAGGAGGAATACACCGATGACCATGTTGTAAGGAGTGCATAAGGGACGGGACATGTGTACTTGGCGTACTGGATCTCAAATTTGCTTGATGGTTGTCTTTAGCATTGCACCTGATACCGGACAGCCAGGGTCGTGCATTTTCTAATCGAATGCATATCAAGGATCTTTCCATGTCAACAATTCGACATATACCAGTAGATCCATATGTGGCCACATAAACCGCGCAGTGCCTATAGACCGTAGAACCCAGCTGAATGGCCATCTACGGCAGTCTTGAGTCTTCCGATCATTTCAACCTCAAGGCGACTCTGTGATACAAACAATCTTCATGCCTTACAGCCCTATTGGCCTTACAGCCTTAAGGCCTAGCAGATCCCAACCAATCACAATCTGCACACCTGGTCCGCCCCGTCCGCCCCACCCCTCCGCATCGCATAAAAACTTCTCGCACCCTCGCAACCTTGGGAATCTTCATCAAAAAAGCATCAGAGCAGCCACGACCTCCGCTAGCATTCCACAGCGGTAGTGTTGCCATCCGCTCTGCGGTTCAATGCTCTGTAGAGAGAACCACGTCCTGGAGTATAGGAAGCATCCTCCCGTGTGTCGTCTTAATTGACGGCGATGGGTACGAAGCGCCACGAAGGGATACATGACCACTTGACGTGATTGATGTGATTGATGTTGCTGTGATTTTTGAAGTCCGCGTGTACGTCTGATTTGAGAGAGATTCCGCCGTTGGGCTTGATGGAATTTCGCTCCTGCCGAGATGGGTGACTCCGAGTAATTGTCGGGTCTACACGAATCGCACCCAGTACCTTATGACTGTCGCGGATGATGTTTTGGAGGATTCGAAGATTATATTATATACATACAAGACATGACGCTTATCTCCCCCCCTCCCTACCCTTCCCTTTCGCCGGCCCCCGCCGTCGCTCCCACACCTGCACATAACTCTCCTTTGTAAACAGCGTCTCCGGCATGATCTTCTCCACAAACAGATCCTGCACCTCGATCCACTCGTCGCGGCTCTTGTCCCGCAGCTGCACGTGCCACACCTTCTTCTCCGCCTCCCCCTCCACGCTGTCGTCGCGGATCCGCACCGCCTCGTGCGTGACGTTCGCGACCAGATCGTACATGATCGGGTCCGCGGGGGAGTGCAGGCTGGGGTTCGGCTCCACGTACTCGGCCATGTCGATTGAGGGGCGGTCGGATGTGACGATGGTGGGGTTGCGCTCCGAGACGAATTTGTTGGTGCTGAACCGCTTGATGTGGAAGAGGAGATAGGGGGGGAGCGGATGCAGTAGACGGTAGCGGCGGCGGTGGTTCAGCCGTTCTTGCGCGCGGCGGCCGTCGTACTTGGATAGGATCTCGCCCAATCGCACTTGTGGGATGATGTTGCGATCGAGCTCGTCTTGGAACAGCGGCGCGGGCGGGAGGTCGAGGGTTAGGAACATGTATCGCTGCGTCTCGGTCTGCACGTCCGCGTCTTCGAAGCGCAGCCGATCGCCGGCGTCGGCTCGCGCGGTGATCAGTTGGGATTCGACCTTCATTGCCCCTTGGAAGACGCGCTGCACGATGCTCGTGCCGGGCTTGGTTTTGCTGCCTCCCAGGGCCAGATGCAGATGGTTGAGGAACCAGGTCAGGAAGTCGACCGGATCCGCCTGTTCGGTCAGGTTAAAGCGCTTTCCGGACCGCAAGGCCACTTCTTGAAGAAGTTCGTGGGGGGAAACGTGCGCTTTGAATGCTCGTGGATTCCAGATCTTCCGCACGAGGATGCTGAATCGCTGAGCGAGCTGCGGTCGGTTCGAGAGGTCTTCCAGCATGAGATAGTTGCGGAGGGGGGCGACGTGCGCGAGAGCATGGATGATGACGTTGAAGTAATCGTTCGCCTTGATATTGTTCATCCCCACGAATCCTGGAACGTACTTTCGATTCACTAGATCCCAGGCTGTCTTTTGCTCTCTGTCCAATGCCATGACATCTGCCTTGTTGAACACGGGGTCTACCACAAACTTGATGTCGTCCAAACTTTTGCTCTTGACTTCGTATCCCTCGGGGAGGACGTACACCTTCTTCGTCGCCATATTGATGTACACATGGTGCCCTTCGTCCAGCGCGTGGAAGTATGCCTGCGAACTGGTGCCCCGTCCCTGGTAATATTTGCCGCAAATCAGGCACGCGTAGACGTTGATGTTGGACAGCGTGACGGAACACAGTTTCTCGAAGTCGAAGTCGAGGACGGCTCGCTTGATGGTGTCGAGGTATAGATCGTCGTATCCCTCCGTCGGGGCGGTTTGCCGTTTCGGCGCGGCCTGCATGTCTTCCTCCTCGGAGTCGAAGCCGGTTTCCTCCAGCTCCTCATGCTCTTGTTCGGCGGCTCCAAGGATATCCAGCTTTTCGGCATCTTGCGTTCGAGGGTTCATAAGGTGACCGTTGGTTGGGGCATCGTTCTCGACCAGCTCCGACTCGTCTGGAACGTCGTCGACTTTGGACTTCTTGGACGCGGGCGAGTCGGCATGTGCTACTGCTTCCAACGGTTCAGCAGCGCGTCGTTTCGCCATTTTGATCAGATAACCTCTGCGTAGTAAATGGGGGACTCGTAGCTCATGAAATTTAGTGCAATATTAAGAGAATTCAGCCTTCCTGTAGCATTCATTCAGGTTGAGGTGGAAATACGCGATTCGTGATCATCAAGCTATAGCTGGGGAGTTCCCTGTCACTGGATTTCGGGACTTTTCAGATCAGAACAACGGCATCTCAACTTTCAATAGAAGCTCTCAACTCCAATAAATTTACCAGAAACTTACCTATTCAACTCCAGAGCTGGTAAAAATGGTGAGTGTTCTTGATATGCTTGCTGTTTATCGTATTAACGTCGCTAGGCTTACCAACCCCCGACCCAAATTTTTGCGGACGATGTCACTGAGGAGAAGGGAGAGAATGCACGACTATCAGCGTTCGTTGGTGCTATTGCTGTGGGAGACCTGGTGAAGAGCACATTGGGGCCCAAAGGCATGGACAAGATCCTACAGTCCGCGTAAGTTGGGATATCGGCGATAGGCGAGGCGGTGGTGCGCAGGCAGCTAACATGCTCTATCAGGTCCACTGGAGAAATCATGGTCACAAACGACGGAGCTACGATCCTGAAATCCATCGCACTCGACAATGCCGCGGCGAAAGTTCTCGTCAACATTTCAAAAGTCCAGGACGATGAGGTTGGTGACGGCACAACATCAGTCGCCGTTTTGGCCGCGGAACTCCTACGAGGAGCGGAACAGCTGGTGAACCAGAAGATACACCCTCAGACCATCATCGAAGGGTACAGAATAGCCAGCCATGCTGCGCTCCAAGCGCTGGAAAGCACGGCGGTCAACAATAGCAACGATCCGGAGAAGTTCAGGAGAGACCTGGTTGCTATCGGGAGCACGACATTGAGCTCGAAGGTACTGAATCAGGATCGGGACCAGTTTGCAAACCTGGCCGTCGATGCTGTGCTACGAATGAAAGGCTCAACCGACCTGTCACACATCCAGATCATCAAGAAGGCTGGAGGCAAACTGAAGGATTCATACCTCGAGGAAGGCTTCATCCTAGACAAGAAGTTCGGCGTCAACCAGCCACGGAGAATCGAGAATGCCAAGATCCTCATTTCGAATACGTCTATGGACACTGACAAGGTCAAGATCTTCGGTGCCCGACTCAAGGTCGACTCGACCGGCAAGCTCGCCGAGCTCGAGAAGGCCGAACGAGAAAAGATGCGCCAGAAGGTCGACCGCATCAAGGCCCACGGCATCAACTGCTTCGTCAACCGGCAGCTCATTTACAACTGGCCCGAGCAGCTCTTCGCCGACGTCGGTATCTCCTCTATCGAGCACGCTGACTTCGACGGCGTCGAGCGGCTCGCCCTCGTTACCGGCGGCGAGATCACCTCCACCTTCGACCACCCGGAGGCCGTCAAGCTTGGCCACTGCGACCTTATCGACGAAGTCATCATCGGCGAAGACCGCCTGATCCGCTTCTCCGGCGTCGCCGCCGGGCGCGCCTGCACGATCGTGCTGCGCGGCGCCACTGAGCAGCTGCTCGACGAAGCGGAGCGATCACTGCACGATGCGCTGGCGGTACTGTCTCAGACGGTCAAGGAGCCGCGGGTGACGCTCGGCGGCGGTAGCGCGGAGATGGTGATGGCGAAGGCGGTGGACCACGCGGCGCAGAACGTGGCGGGGAAGAAGGCGTTGGCGGTGGATGCGTTTGCGAAGGCGCTGAGGCAGCTGCCGACGATCCTGGCGGATAATGCGGGGTACGATTCGAGCGATCTGATCGCGCGATTGAGGAAGGCGGTGTACGCGGGCATGACGAGCTCCGGGTTGGATATGTTCTCGCCGGGCGGCGGGATTGCGGATATGCGGGAGCTGGGCGTTATTGAGAGCTACAAGCTGAAGCGTGCGGTGGTCTCATCCGCTTCGGAAGCGGCGGAGGTAAGTTCCTTGTTTCAAGTCTTTCGCTTATGGATACAAACTAACTGACCAATTTAGCTCCTACTGAGGGTCGATAACATCATCAAGAGCGCTCCTCGGAGACGCGAGCGGATGTAAATTTGGGCATGGAGTTCATAGGATCTGCATATACCCGGCGCACGAGCTTATAGATAGCATGTGTACTCGATCCCGCAAGACAATTCATGCTCTCTAGTCATCCTTAGGCACTAGAAATTACTCGGATCCGTGTAGATCTTACGATTGGGTTGCTAGTATACATTGAAGTAATTGTGGAAGTGTGATTTTGCCTAGCTCATCTCCTTTGCCAGGTCCAGATCTGTTCTCTGATTTCGGCTTTCATCCGAAAAAGCCCTTCTTGTTCTTGTTCCTGTCCTCAAGCTGTGTGACTGTCAGTATCTGAACGGGTGCAAAAGCTATCCATGGACGTTACGAACCCACTGCTTCTTGCAGTCACGGTATGCTCTATCGAAACTCGTCAGTCAAGATGCACAAGTGTGTACTGTGTAGAGGCCCATCATTGCCAAGGTAGTAATATCTGCTTAATAAGGGGACGTAGAGAAATAGCAAAACAACTTACAGGAAGTAGTCGTTGCACATCTCCTTTTCGCCTCCGTTCCTCGCCAGGCATTTTAAACTGCGGTTGGCAGCTTCTTGACATGGATCCATGTACTTGCTCAGCTGCTTTCTACGATAATCCAGAACAGGTCAGTATCAGATTTCCGGTTGACATGAGGGTCGCCCGTTGCAGCTGTTTGACTGTTGGACGAGGCAACGTACGATTCAAACTTCTTCGCCGTTTCTTCGGTCCATGCCGACTCACCCGGTTGAGACGCCATATTGCTATCGCCACATATCTCTCTGTCCGTGGGATGAATACAAAGCGCAGAGTTATCGAGGCGTTCGTTGATCAAATCCGACGCCACATGTTGCGGCCGGTTCAAGCTCGGAAAAATGTTTCACGAGACCGCGTCCGTGCCAAGGTTCCCCGTTCCTGGACTCCTGGTTACTGTCACAACGTCAACTTCAACTCAACTTCAGTGTTGGATGTCGAAGATATCGGGCGCCCTAGCGACTCGAGAACGGGATACCGTCGTTCTAGATGGAGTAGACCCTGGATCTCGCATCGTGGCGCTGATTCCGATTCGTCGGAGGACGCGATGAAGGGTTACCCAATGCCTGTCCACTAACTCGCTCCAGGTGATAGATTGCATGCTTTACATGTTATAGAGATCCACGTGTTCGTTGCAGTCGTGCTTAAAATCGTACGGTTATTCAGTCATGATGCCGTTGGCTGGGTACCGGTAGCTGTGATTTGAAACCTTATCATGCACCGAAGCTAACCTCCATCAACACCTGGAGTCCACGACGCTGAGCCGACTCGAGATCCTCACGAACGGCATGCGTCGCGGCAAGGACAATTCTCGACCGTGTTCTATTTCGCAAATGCATTGGGAGGCTGAACCCCTTCATCACCTCGCATATCGCGGTCTCAACTTGTGATGCTATGCTTCTGGTTACGTTCAAGAATTCAGGGCCCCGGCGGGGTAGCACTGCTCGTTGATGCTCTGGACCAAATCGGTCCACGATGACTGAACTCGCTGGGGCCGACACGACAACAGTTGACGATAATTCAACTGAGGTGTGGAGGGGATATCACAATGTTCCGCCGGGGTCGCCCTGCGCTCTCCTCGATCAGGAAACGAAGTCCATAGACCGAGACATAAACTCAATGCCCAACCTTTCTAGATTCAAATCGCCTCCACACTGATGGGCTCGAAGACTTCGATGTTGCCTCCACTTTTGATAATGATGGTTATTGATATTGCATTAGCTGATGGTCTAAATAGGGAACTGGTGACATTTCCCTCCCACCGTTGGATGGATCCTACAATGGATGCGAAATCCGAGCTCTAATCGCCTATCTTCGTCCTCAAATTCCATAACCCAATTGGGTATTCTGGTTCCCAGTATCATCACTAGCATCCCCGACCAATCTAGCATTGAACCACTGGACCCCAAATTGCCGGCGGTTGCCGTATCCTGCAGGGGCTCACAATGCCGTTGTGACAATGCATGTCGAGCTTGCGAGATCAGGAAGACAATTCCTTTGGATTAGGAAAAAGAGAAGAGGAAACCACATTGTGTCCATGATGGGAAGTATGGTATCAGTCACCCGATGAAGCCTCGGTTGCATGGCATGTTGGATAGAATCATTTCTGGTATCAGTCCCTATCCAGAATCCAGTATCAGGTTGGCGATAAGATAATATGCCAGTGCGATCAAAGCCTCAAACGGGTATTTACAGTTGGTAAAAATCGATGGATGTTCTTGTTCATTGTCTGGCGAACAATCCCCCTTGCGATGGACTTGCTCCTTGCCATCGTGACCAGATAGCACTGACTACTCACGATGTCGGCATTGATGTCAGCTGGGCAGTGGAGCTACCAGTCCGTTCTAAGTTTCAGAAACCGGCAAGATGTGATTGGCACGGAGGTAGGACGCCTTGAATATAGTGCAGTTGGGGACTGGCGTTGGAGATATTGCCATTTCAGTATATAGAATGCATGGGGTTGGACTATCCTGCAGTATAAAAGGCCTCGTTCGCATTCCATGAGCACACAATTGACCCTACCTTTACCGTCTGCCTTGATAACATTGGGAACAAATTTTAATCACCACATTCTTGTTCATTCGTGTGAATGTGTCCGTATATACTGTTATTGCACGTACAATCTCTTGAGGTCTATGAGATCTAGTTCTTTGTGAACCTACCTCATCTCGGGTCTATTTGTCTCCCCTCCCTCTTTGTGAAAGGGTTTGCCGTTTCTGCCAGCAGGACGCTTAATATCGGATTCCTATTCCGCTTGTGGGCTGGATGCGGTGAGGTTGAGAATTCAATTCACCAGAATTCCTGCATGTGTTCGGGGCCTCTGATAATTACCAGTCCATGCTCCTTCTTGTCGATATCCCACTAAAAATCGATATTTCTGCTCTTCAGACCTTTTGACTTGATCAACCTTCATTTTACCTCTCGACCTGAACCACGATCCTAATCAAACATCTTGCCAGAAGACTTTTGTCATTTGTTCTGTAACCTCGCTTTGTCCGAGACTCACCTAATTCCACCCAATTCATCATGCTGGCCTCGCCAGCTATGCCCGACTCTGCCACAGGGTGTGCTACTCAGGCGGCCTGCGACCATATCATTGTGAAGTGTACAGAAAAGCCTCACCCTGAAACCAATGCAGGCGCTGTCGAGAGTTTCGATCCGGATAAGCACCTTGCTTTCAAGGAGGCTCCCGAGATCTTGACCATGAAGGACATCGGCTATCCCGAAGACACCGGCGTGTCCCCAGTGGCGATGAGCCAACCTTTCCAACTCTTCACCAAGGAGGCGGTCGATCAGATGCGACAGGAGATCTTCAAGAAGGAAGTCAATGAGACTTGCCAATTCCGCAGCAATATTGCAGCATCCCAGCTTCGAGGTTATGCTGGCCGGTAAGCCATCCATCCTCTGCCAGAGACTCTTTCTGACCCATGTAGCTTTGCTCCCTTCACCTATGACGCTTGGACTCACCCAAAGACCCTCGCCATCATGTCCAAGATCGCAGGGGTGGAGCTCACTGTTGTGGTTGACTACGAGATTGGCCATATCAACTTTGCCGTCAAGAGCAAGAAGCAAGTTCAACAGGAGATCGACATGATCAATGCTCAGAAATGCTTCTTCGCCTCGGATGAAGGCATTTCCGGCTGCCCATGGGAGGACGATAAGCCGGTGGTCGGATGGCACCGGGACAGCTACCCTTTCGTCTGTGTCTTGATGTTGTCTGACTGCACCAACATGGTCGGAGGAGAGACTGCGATTCAAAAGCCTGACGGCACTGTCATCCGCGTTCGCGGACCCGGCATGGTAAGTTCGCATGATCCAATGCTGTTCATTTCCGAACTTGCCGCTGAAATATCCAAGGGCTCTGCTATCATCCTCCAAGGCCGCTACATCACCCACCAGGCTCTCCGAGCTCTTGGTACCCGGGAGCGCATCACCTCCGTGACCTCCTTCCGACCCAAGGATCCTTTCGCTGCCGACGCTACCGTCTTGAACACCGTCCGCCAGATCTCCGACGTGTCAATGCTCTACCACCAGTTCGCCGAATACCGTCTCCAAATCATGGAGGACCGCATCCGCGCCAAGCTTCGAGAAATGGAGCGCCGGCAACGAGCGGGCAAGAAGTTCGCAACGTCCGATTTCAAGGCCTTCTTGAAGGAGCAGACCAAGTTCCTCGCTCACATGAACAGCGAGATGGTGGATGAAGATATGATTGCGTCGGGGTACATTGAGGAGATGAATATTCCGGATGTCGTCGTCGATGTGAACCAAGGGGGCATGGAGCGTCCTACCAAGCGCACCCGTACGGACTGAGGGATCGACTTCTGATAATAGACGGAAAATGGGCAGCGGCAGATCGGTTGGCATTCTTGTTTTCACAAATAGTTTTCGACTTTCGTTTACATGTAGCATGAGCTTGTTACGGGATGGGAAAAAGCAGTGGTACGGGGAAAAGCAGTACTATGAGAAAGCGGTAATGGGAAAAAGCGAGAGAGAATATGGATAAACGGCCTGTCAATAAATTAATTCACATCCCCTCTGCACCCGAGTTCCGATATCGTGCCAACTGCGAGTCTGTGACTCCCATGAGTTGAGGTCAAATCTAAGTACAAGGCTCATGGATGATAGAATGTATTAGTCCAGCGATGATCCAGCATAGCCGCCATAGCGTAATCCATTGTTCGACTGGCGTTGTCAGTGCGAAGGATGGCGTTAGCTGAGGGCTGGAGCCCAACTGCCCGAGAAGGTGAAAAACGAAGCTAATACCTAATCAGGAGTAGCGTGCTTGTCAGGATCGACCCCGACTTAGACGTCCCACTTTTACCCACCCACCACTTCTGACTTCACGTTACAACACCTGCACTTCACTCAGTGATCTCACACTCATCACTGCTCTTCTCTTCCAAAAGCTCCATGAATCTCTCTCTCATCCTCTTCCAATCCTCATATTCAATCTTCCCTAATTTCAACCCGTGATCCCCTGGAATGAGGAGTAGCAACACTCCACCTGCGAGATCCTGCCGAGATGGAGGCTGTTGGGCAGGCGTCTCCGTCAAACGCCTCGCGTGCTCGTGAAAAACCACCCTCTCGTCGCTCCCAAAATTCACCGAATATCCCGAATCATGTGGCCTCGGCATCATCTACCTCTCTCGCGAGCGATAGGAGCCGGAGGTACTCCAAGAATTCACAGGAGGGGCTGAAGCTGCCACGCTCTTCTGATGGTTCCTTGGCATCTTCGTCTAAGACACAATCCAGTGAGAGCATCATCATGGCTGCCGCGAAGAAGAATGAAGAGGTAAGCTTCCATGCGTCACTTGAACGATATAATCCTAATCCCGTTACAGCTGCTGAGCTCGCTGAAATCGGACATGGAGTCCATTCGAAGCATCGCCTCCTGCAAGATCTGTGCCCGGCTTCTCTACGAACCCTACATCATCTCATGCGGCCACACGTTCTGCTACAGTTGCCTTTGCACGTGGTTTTCCAACAATAAACACAACAAAACCTGTCCAGACTGCCGCGCCGCGGTCCACGAGATGCCGGCCCCAGCCTACCTCCTCAAAGAGCTGATTACAGTCATGATTTCCCGGACCGAGCTCCTCCCTTCGTCGGAGAAAGATGAACACGAAAGATGGCAGAAAGAAGAAGCCGAAGCGGTGCAGAAGGATAAGAACAATACCAACCCTCAGCACGGCGGCCTCTTCAAGGGGGCCTTTAAGCGACGGTTCGGTACCGATGCATATCATGACGATGAAGACAATGTGGACAGGTGCCCGGCCTGCCACCATGAGGTAGTTCAGGGAATGTGCTCGCACTGTGACTGGAACGACTGGGACATCGAGACAGGCGATTCAGACTCCGCGGTCTTTCGTGATGTGTGGGGCGGGTCACTCCGAGGATTTAGCGATGATGATGCACGAACGGATGATGTTGACGCCGACGACTTAGACCACGACCTCGACATGACGGACAATGATCTGGATTCCGATATTATCGCCGTAATGGCCCACGAGCACCTGGCCTCGGCCGAATTTGGAGACTACGACGGCAATAACTACATTCAGCAATGGATGAACAGACGCGGCGGCCCCCCTTCGCCTCAGGGAATCCGACGAATGCGACCACTCGCTGCCCACAGCGCTGCCGGAAGTCGACGCCGATCGAACACTGCGAGTCTCATGTCCGATGAGATAGATATGGACACCGTCGAAGAAGAGGATGAGGACGAAGATGAGGATGAAGAAGACTCCTCTATGGCCGACTTCCTCGATGACGATAACATCGAACTTGCTTCGCAGACGAGCTCATCCACCGGCGCCAGTGGGACTCCTCAACCGGAGCAACGGCCAAACCACCCAAGGCGGGCCATAGTGATAGTCTCTGATTCGCCGGAACCTAGGGGACCGTCAACGTCAAGGTCGACCTCTCTTGATGAGGAATCCGATGAAGACGACGAAGACGAGAGCCCTATCTCACACATTCGACGACGACAGACCAGGGTGCAGGCCCGTTTGAACCGCAACCGCAATGTGCCTTCTTCAAACATGGATCCGGAAAACCATTTATTCCATCAGGCTCTCCGGAATCGAGGCTGGTCACCATTGGATCAGGGTGCTTCTGCTGGGGTGGAAGAAGGGGGTGGAGAGTATGATGAGGACAGTGATGGGGGAAGGACGACGGTCGGGTTAGAGACGAACACGAACCACGCTTTGCGGAACCGAAACTCAGGATCTCTAACACCTACTGCAGACACATATAACGCGGCTTCCACCTCATCCCCACGACCTCGGACGACCCGCTTCCCGGACGGTTCCCGAGGACTCCGGAGAAGGAGTTCCGTACTTTCTGTCTCATCCATAAACTACGAAGGAGAGGCAGACGACGATGATTCCGATATTGATCGAGATGGCGATAGCACTATGGGAGATGTTAGACGCGCATCAAATGCTAGGTTGGGGGCGTCCATATCACGACCATCCGTTGGAGTGCAACAAGTCCTCGGAGATGGGCTGGATGGCGTCTCGGACGGCTCATCCGATGAATCGATTGCACGACACCAAGGCCGCCGACGTACGAGACAACGACGCGACTACGACCCACGAATTAGCTTTATGTTTGCGGAACATCAGAATTTTGAGAGAAACGTGTCTATGGAGAGGGAGGACGACGTCTTTGCCCAGTTGGAGCTGTTACGTGGATCAACCCCAATTCACCGCCCGGGGACATCGAATCGAAACAGGCGAAACGCAGCAAATACTATGAACGGACATACGAATTCTGCATATGCACAACATCCTGCGTACCCTGTTGAGCAAGCTTCTCCAGACCGTCGCCGAACGCCAGGGATTGGCAGAAGAGCCTCCAACAATAGGCTTATGGCAGCAGCTGCGCAGACTGACGGCTTCACACCGTCATTTGTCCCGGCTTCATCTGCGCATTTGGGGAATTCCGGAAACGGCATCTACATTGATGGACGAGGTTCTGTGGATCCGGATCCAAGGGATTCACGGCCCAATATTCGTGCAGCGTCGAATCCAATAGCGAGCGGCGCAACAATTCCAGACGCAATTGTCCGTCCGATGAGCCGTCAGAATTCGCGGCCTCCTTCTGCCACAGGCCGACGGCCAACTGCACCCGTCAATGCTCCGTATCAAAGCCCTTTTATGGGCCCAGGTCTGAACTTCGCGGCTCGATCCGTGCAACAAAGTCTGAACTCCGCTGTTCGAACCATGCAGCAAAGTCACAACCCGTTCGCACCGCGTCTCCAAACCAACGTTCGACCCCGCCAATCCAGCCAACGACTTCGCGAGCAAACTTCAACAGCGACGATCCGACCTCGAACTTCGACCCGCACGATGCGCACCCCGCCCTCTCAGTCTTCGATGCGAGATCACGACACCGCGTCTGGACCTGACCGATCCCGAACCCCACGAGCGTCTGTGGCACCATCCAGTTCCAGCCAACATAGCCCAAGTTCCGCACGCCCACAGGCATCTCGCGCCAACCTCCGACCTCAACCCTCCCAAGCTCGCTTGATGCCGCAGCCATCAACCCGACTGCTTCGCGCCGCTGTCGACCAGGTCACTAACATGCCTCCCATCACCCCTCTCAACGGTGTCCTCGACGACGCCGAGCGTCGCCGCCGCGCAAGCGAACTCGTCCGTCGTCGCGAGCGTGAACTCCTCCAAGGGTCAACCCCTCGCCGAGTCCACGGTTCCGACGCCATCAGCGTCTCCTCTGGTCCATCCAGTGCACGATCCTCAGCCGCGCCACTCGGCACCGCATTCAACCCGATCACATTCAGCAATGCGGCGTCAAGCGCCAACATCGCGCGACAGCGAGCGGTTTCCGGGCCGGCGGCACCGTTTGTGCCCCCTCGGCGAACCGAACGACCTCAGGCTGCGACAGGAGAGGGGAGCACGCACACAAATGCAGGGATCCAGGGACTGCGGCCGCGAAGCGGAGTCGGGCTTCCGGGCGTGGCGGAGAATTTCGGGCAGCAGCTGGCGAGGGAGAACGTGGCGTCGACGGCCGCACGGGGTGAGCGAAGTCGTTAGAGGGGGGTGGTTGGCGTTGAATCGATTTTCTTGCAAGGACGATCACGACGGACGGAGCAGACAGCTCTCATGATGATAAGAGGGCGTTTTCAGTATTCAGCAGCATGACATGGCGGATTGATGGTTTTCGGTTATTGTTACGATCGTTCGGGGACGGGCGGTCAACGGCCTGGAAGCAACGTTTAGCGATGGTGCAATATTCGTTTATGGGAAGCGGTCGCAGGCCACAAATGAACTCTATAGCAGTAGTGAACTAAAATCACTGACTTGATATGTCTACCCGACTCCTTGCGCCGCGTTTGGGCCGGGGTTTGATGTGTCGTGTTCCGACCAGCCAGCCTTCTATGACTCTTTCGCATATCGTCGTCAGTGACAAGCCATCCGTGTAGCCTAGATCGTTAGGCGCGCTCTGCCGAGACAGACGCATTCCTACGAGCGAGGGGCGCACCTGAAATACACCGTAATAGGAGTTCATCTTCGGAGGCTGGACAGAATTTCAGCTAGTGCCAATTCACTATGATTGGTCTGCTCTACTACTATATTCGATTATTTATACGAGAATCCGACGCTGGATGCTAGCCCATTCCCATCCTTCTACGCATGTAGCAAAGGCACGAATTATCATCGACGGCAATACGTGTAGAGGCTGAATCTTGGCTTGCCAACGTCACAGCAAACTGTGGTATCGACGGTGGAAGCATCATACTTCTGCCCGGCAAACTGCAACGAGCCCCTTTCCCAACCCCTTCCCAACCCCATCACTCAAACCCCTCCGCCTGCTCCGCCCCCTCCACCGCCCCCTCCACCGCCCCTAACCACCCCGCCCGATGCACCGTCCAGAACTCCGTATCCGCCTTCAGCGTATCGAATCCCACATCCGCTGTCCCCGCCGCCACCAACGCCACGTCCCGAAAGCTCTCGTGCTCCGATACCTTCACCACCGTCGATCCGCAGGTCGTGCAGAAGCGGAGCGTGAACGGGATGCTGCTTTCCGCCTGGATGAAAGTATACGTTTGGGTGTTGGGCACGCCGGCGATTAGCTGGAAGGCCGGGCGGGGGACGACGGTGTTCGTGCTGAAGGCGCTGCCGGTGGCTTTGCGGCATTGGACGCAGTGGCAGATGGCCTGGGCGGGGGGGTTAGGTGTTGGTTAGGCCTGGGGGGGAGGCGAAAGGGTTATAGACGTGCTTGAGGGGCGGGGAGGTGACTTCGTACTTTACGGTGCCGCAGGCACAGGATCCGGTGAGGTTAGCCATTCTGATATTTCTCGAACGTCTTGTTGATATTTCGTTTTTGCTGTTTCGCGTTTGGTCTTTCACCTTTTCACGAGCGCAGGACTTTGCTCGCCTTTATATCCCGCAACCATCGTCACTGTTCCAGTTCAGCTCCGCCACTTTTCTGGGTGGCTTTACCAAACTCCTCGAAATGGGAAACTTTTGCCGCTTGTTCGTATTTTTTATCAAGCGACGAAGTTGGATTGCATCCCTGAAACCGGAGCAAGAAGAGGTATCGTAAATTGTCAGTAACTTCGAGGTCCTGGCACATTTTACGGAATTGGAGTTCGAGGAGATTGAAAGGCTATATAACATGGTTTGCATGACAGGGACAAGGTGCGCTACGCAGCAAGGTGGCTGATCGATGCGGGAGGCCTAGAGCAATACCGGGTGGCCAAGGAAGTTGAGGAGGAGGTAATAGAGGACTGGAAACCGTTCCAGCTCCTCCACGACGTGCCAGAATAAGCTCTCCGCGTAGGCGGAAACACCGACTCGTACGGATAGATGATAAACGTTTGAGATAGTCTACTAAAGGGAGGAGGCGGGATTTTATGTACCCGCAGCCTCAGGGCAACGGGGAAACTTTTGCCCGCGGCAGACCAGATAGAATGCCGTGCTCATAGACCCGAAAGGGATCCAGATAGTACGTTAAATTGATTCTTATTATTATAATAATATGGTACTTGTAGATGACTCTGGCTAAGAAGACGGCTTCTTTCGATAAGAATCCATGATGGCTCTCATCGGAGCAATATTATGCTCAATGAACTCCTTCGGAATCTCCGCTTTCAGACTCTCAGGCACGGGGTTATTCCATTCGTGAATGACTCTTGTTCCTTCCAACCGGACCTCCAGCACCGTACCACCGGGGTACCGTCCCTGTTGGATGATGTCCATCATCGTGTCGGCGATATATTCCGGAGTCAGCGAAAGCTTGTCGGAGATGCCAAATTGCTTCATGTAGTCATCTCGGTCGGTCCAGAGGGGGGTTTTCACAACGCTGGAGGGAACGTCAGTATCTAATAGATCAGGTCGCAGTGGGTGTAGCTTACCCCGGGCATATCGTTACGATCTTGATGCCTTCATACTTATCTGCCAGAGCCATGCTGCGAGTGAAACCAACGACGGCATGTTTTGTCGCCACGTATAGTGCGCTAGAATAGGTTCCTGACAGACCGGCGATCGATGCGACGGATAGGACTACGCCCTTTTTGTCGGCCTCGGCAAGCGCTTGCATAGCGATTCTCGTGAGCTTTATCGGATGGTTTACGTTGATATCTACCTCCTGGTACCGTTCGGTCTCCAGATCATCCCAGAAGTTGGACCATTTCTGCTATTCGTTAATCGTGGATCTTCGGCCGGAGGAGCTTACTGACAGGTTCGAAGACGCCGGCACCGGGTACCCAGACGTCTGGGACGGCATTGAAATGCTTTCTGGATGCATCGACAAGTTCTCTCAAGTCTGACCACTTCGTTACATCGCATGTTGCGAATGCAACTGGACGCTTGTCTTGTACCTCATTAAACCACGTCTGGGCTTGCGTAGTGAGCTTTAAGTCCGCTATTAGGACTTTCGCTCCGGCCTCAATCGCTTTCTTGACAAACTCGAAGCATATCCCTAATGTCGTTAGGTCTTGACTAGATTGCTAAGCATCGATTGACATACCCGAGCCACCACCTGTCACTACCACCACTTTATCTTTAATGGGAAAGTCTCCAACTTGCATGTTTTACTTATGGAGAATGGAAATATGACTCAGAACTGTGAAGTAAAGAAAGAATGGACACGGAGCGATATCGCTCAATATATCTACAGCCTTACCAACCAGACGGCCCGGAACATCTCTGGCGTCAAAGGCGGGGAAGGCGATTGCCGGGGCATCCAAATCCGAAAGAAGAACCTTTATCGGTTACTCTATTCCGCGTCGCTCTGGACTAGATTGGTGCGCTAGAAATGCTATCCGCTCGGCAGACCATGCATGATAAAGGAACCGTCCCATAGAACATTTAGACCAGCGAGCCCACCATGTGTTGCGGACGCTATGGTCTTGTGGCATACACTGAGGCCTCGGGGGCCTTGCCAGGCAGTGAATCTTTCCTTTCCCCAAACACAGATTAACCTGATCGATATATTTATATAGAACATACAGATACAGCAAGAAATAGGGATAACTCCGAGACGCTGTCACAGGAGTAAACGGACTTGCGGAGAGGTCAGCGTGGACATTCCAGGTCCTTTCGTTCTGAGCGAGTCAAGTTTGGATTCCATGTTTTGCGAACAGCGAGATAGATTCAATTCAAGGATTCGCAGCATCTTAGAGGAAGATTTCAATCAAGAATGGCCCTAATTGGATCTATCAACAGTGCAAGACTGTGAGTGGGCAATGGACAGGTGATGATGAAGTCTGGACGAACGGAAACGCGGAATGAAAGCATCAAATTGGTGGCGCGCACTGACCTCTTCCTGTCGCCGCAAGTCCACCAGGGCCAAGGGCTGCAAATCGTCAACAGGAACTAAATCGTCATGCAAGCATTTCTCCCTTCAATATTGTTCAATTCTTCGCATCTCTCCTCAGCCACCCACCCTACGATCCCTTAAACCCAATTCTCTCCTTTCCAGGGAAGTACCGTCAATATGCTGGTCCGAAGCTCCCAGAGAGCCGCGCAGGTAAGCCTCTGCCCTCCAATTTGACTCTGTCCACCGAAAACTGACGTCGATCTCTTATCAGAGCCTCCTGCGGGGGTCGCGACCAACGGCTCGAGGTACCACAGGCCAATTAATGGTAATAGGCGTGCAGTATGGCTAACACGATAAAAAGGCATGGCAAGCGTCTCCACAGACATCTTCAAGCCCACCAAGTTCGGTGGGAAATACACCGTCACCTTGATTCCAGGTATGTCGGCCCGCCCCGGCATCAGGATTTGCGCAGCCCTCTTACGATCACAATAGGCGACGGCATCGGTGCTGAAGTGTCAGAAACGGTCAAGGAGGTCTTCAAGGCGGACAATGTTCCCGTCGAATGGGAACAGGTCGATGTGTCCGGTATGGAGTCGGGAAGCAAGCCGTCCGACGATCTTTTCCGGGAGGCGGTTGCTTCGTTGAAGAGGAACAAACTCGGATTGAAGGGTAATGCAACCTGTTCCCTTCCTATCCGGACTGAAACTGAGATTTCGTTTAGGTATCTTGCACACTCCCGTAGAGCGCTCCGGTCACCAATCCTTCAACGTCGCCCTCCGTCAAGAACTCGACATCTACGCCTCCATCGTCCTCATCAAGAATATCCCCGGCTACGAGACCCGCCACAAGAATGTCGACTTCTGCATTATCCGCGAGAACACCGAAGGTGAGTACTCCGGCCTCGAGCACCAATCGGTCCCCGGCGTCGTCGAGTCCCTCAAGATCATCACCCGCGCCAAGAGCGAGCGCATCGCCAAGTTCGCCTTCGCCTTCGCCCTGGCCAACAACCGCAAGAAGGTCACCTGCATCCACAAGGCCAACATCATGAAGCTGGCCGACGGCCTGTTCCGGAACACTGTGAAGAAGGTCGGCGAGGATTACCCGACCCTCGAGTCGAACGATATGATCGTCGACAACGCCTCCATGCAGTGCGTCTCCCGGCCGCAGCAATTCGATGTCATGGTCATGCCGAATCTGTACGGTGGCATCCTGTCCAACATCGGCGCCGGCCTGGTTGGCGGTCCTGGAATCGTTCCCGGCTGCAATATGGGCCGGGAGGTCGCCGTCTTCGAGCCCGGATGCCGTCACGTTGGATTGGACATTAAAGACAAGGGCCAGGCTAACCCCAGCGCACTTCTGTTGAGCGCGAGCATGATGCTGCGTCATGTTGGCCTCGATGACCACGCGAACAGGATATCGAAGGCTGTGTATGATGTTATTGCCGACCCGTAAGTTCCGCTAGGCCTAGATGTTGTATCTATTATTGACGGTTTGTAGTAAATCACGGACACGCGATATGGGTGGCAATGCCACTACGCAACAGTTCACCCGAGCGGTCTTAGACAAGATGGAGGCATCAGGATGAGAGGTTGGAGACGCGACAATAGAGCTGTAAATAAGGATTTTCCTGCAGGTGTTTTGCTCAATTTTGGATTCATGGTTTATTGTATAAAGAAATAGTATGCTCGTCTATGCAATGGTATCATGTTTGTTCATAGACCCTACCAACGCCGACCGATGCAGATGAATGATCCCCTAAAGGCCCTAATGAACCGAAATCCTCGGATCAGAAAGCAATCTTTCTCTTCCTTCCGGTGTATTTACTGGTAGCCTTCACCACCATCCCCTTCCGCTCCATCCGATCCTTCTTCCGCAAAATCCACTGCTTACTCCCCTTCTGCATCCCCTTCTCCCCTCCTCTCCGCACCCTCCGTCTCGTATCGTCCACTTCCACCCCCTCCATCCCCTCCACCACCCCCGTGATATCTCCCCCGGCCACATCCCCCCCGCCAACCGTACACACCAAATACACCTTCACCGCCTTCGTCCCCGCCCCATCCTCCAACAACCCCGCCCCGAACCCCGCCCGGATCGCCGCCTGCGCCACCATCCGCTTCTGCCCCTCGTCCCGGGGGTAGAACTGACACACCGCTCTGCCTCCCCGCCGCAGCGCCGCGTACAGCCCTTCGAAAAATCGCTTGAGTCGCCCTTCCGCTGTCTCGATTGACGATTCTGCGTTGCAGAGCCACTGCACCGCGCTGATGGAGATGGCCGCGTCGAATGTGCCTGCGCGGAACGGGACCCCCTGCCCTGCGTCCGCGAGGAACAGATCTCCCTGACACTCCTCCTCGCCCTCGCCTTCCTCGCTGCCGTCATCGGAGTTGCCGGTATCGGGATCCTCGCCCCCCCGCTCGAGCGCCACGCTAAGCATATCAGCGCTGATATCCATACCGACCCAAACGTGAGGCCCGCCGGCCTCCGGGGGCGTGGAGGAGAGGATGGCGCCGGAGAGGCCGGAGCCGCAGCCGACGTCGAGGATGTAGGAGGGGGTGGTGAGGTTGAGGAGGGAGAGGGCGCGTTGGGCCATCTGCGCTTGGATATGCTGGATGCGCGAGGAGGTAGTGTATTTGCGCGCGGTGGTGGAGGAGTAGTAGATGTCGGGGGGGCTGGTGGGGGTTAGTGGGTGGGTAGGATTGGGGGATTGGGGGGAAGGCTTACAGGATATCTTCGGGTCGAGACATGATGACAGGATTTTTGTGGTAGAGGTTAATATGGCGGGTTCTTTGGAGTTTTGGAGGGTGTGCTGAACTGTCCAAGTCGAATATAAATCTGCACTCTGCAGTGATTGATGAAATGATAAAAGTCAATTGTGGGGCGCAGATTATCTCGGGTCGACCCGAACGCCAGGGTTGTTCAGGTTAAGACTTAAGGACAGCTACGCATTAATATTTGACCACCAAGCTGAGAACTGAGAGCTCTTGCATTTATCATCAAACTTCAAAGATATTTGCTTTTAATGCTCACAGTTCTGACGCAATGTGGGTTCTCTCCGTCCTTGGTATCATCGGCCTGGTGCTCGGCTTCGCGTTCATGACGCTGGCAATAGGTACGTTCACCAATGCGACGATAGCGATCCCCCCTTTGTACGCAATGGCTAACGTATATCACAGCATCTGGCCTCTACTATCTATCAGAGGTGCTAGAAGAACATACTGTCCTCGCGAAGAAATTCCTGACCCGCCTCATCTTCACGGTGATCGCCATCCAGGTCCTCCTCTGCGCGGTCGACGGGTTCCCTCTCACCTTGACCGCAATCGGCATCGGGAGCCACGTTGTCTACTACCTGAATCTTCAACGATTCCCCGTGGTCAAATTGACGAGCCCGGTGTTCATCTTGTCATGCGGTATGCCGGAACGCAACACTCTGCGACCGACAGCGTCCTAATATATGCTTTCTAGTCCTCGTGCTCGTCAACCACTACCTCTGCTTCCGCCACTTCTCCTCTCCCCCATCCCCAGTCCTAGGCTACGGATCCTCCTACTCCTCCTACGACGCCTACAACCTGCCTAGCTTCACTGAGATCGCCTCCTACTTCGGCATCTGCGTCTGGCTGGTGCCGTTCTCCCTGTTCGTGGGACTGTCGGCCGGCGAGAACGTCCTGCCCACCATGGGCAGTGAATACGCGACCGGGTCCGGCTCGAGCTTTGCGAAGCCGGGCGCTGAGCCGGGGGCGTCGGGTTATGGTCGGATGAGGAGCGGGACGAATACGGGGATGGCGAAGGCGGCAGTCTCGGGAGTTAAGGAGTGGATCGCGGGGACAGGCGAGCTGATGGGATTCTGGAGAGGGGACAGGATCAGACCGCATGCGTTTTGAGATGCTATTTATTCCAATGCTTATCACGATTGTTGATTTAGACTTAACACAATGGTCCCAGTTCAGGGGTTTATTTCTTGCGATTTCAGGTAAGACTTCCAATTGAGTCAGGGTATCAAGGTACGCTAACCCCATAAGCACCATGGAGCACTTCATCAACAACGGCTCCAATCTTCAACAGCTCTTCATCCTTCATTGGGATCCCCATAATCTGGAAGCCGAAAGGAGCGCCCTCCACCGAATCCGGCTCATCTGCCGGGTTTGGTCAGTATCCGGTTCGCACAGTGCTCAAAGACGAACTTACAAGGTGGCTCATAGCGCACATCTGGCCTGAAAAAGGCGTTATCTTTCGCTTTCTCGGCTCGCAGGTACGGGAGGGCAAGTGCAGGGTACTGCCATGTGATCGTTAGCCGGCAATGAACTGCGCATCCGCGTGGCGTCACGAGCTCCTTACGTCTAGCATGTTCGCCAACACGGTGTAAATCATGAACCCATAGGTGTCATGCCTCACTGCCGTCGACTGGTACGTCGGCAGGATGATCGCATCCAACCGCTCCGCCACCACGATGTCATGCCACGCTCCCACCAGCGCCTGCCTCTGCAAATTCATCTCGAACAGCTCGTCCACGCTCGGCTCCCACCCCTGGAGTTCGGGGAGCGTGGTCGTTTCTAACGCGGGGACGAGCGGCTCGCCCGAGGCGCGCAGATGCTGCGCGGGGACGTGCTGCGGATCCGTCTCGAAGAACTTCCACGCCAGCCGCGAGGTCTCCCATAGCGATGGGACACGTCCGTCGAGTTCCACGATCGCGTGGCCCGTGTCCTCGAGTTTCCGCGCGGCGGACGTCATGCCGCGTAGGGCGGTGGGATGCAGTGGCCGCGATGGATCTTCCTTCAAGTACCCGAAGCGTAGCGGACGGGTGGGCGGCGCAACCGTCCGCCAGGGCACCGTTACGCACGTGTGGTCTACCTTCCACGGCTCGCTGTCCGCCACGGTCCGCATGAATAACTCCAGGTCCCGCACGGAGTGCCCCTCTGGCCCTATCACCGGCAAAATGGGGCTCGGGCTCCCGACGCGCCCGGGCGCCGTCAGCCCGACGAACGGCACGCGGAGGGTCGTCGGGCGGAAGCCGTAGATCCCGTTGCAGAGCGCGGGGATGCGGGCCGAGCCGGCGATGTCGGTGCCTGCGCCGAGGAGTGAGCCACGGAGCTTGACCAGGGCGCCTTCGCCGCCGGTGCTGCCGCCGGCCGTCAGGCTGAGCTTGTTGGGGTTGAGGGTTCGGCCGGTGACGTTATTGACGGAATCGGCCATCATCAAGGTCACCGGGACGTTGGTCTTGCAGTACACGACGGCGCCTTCGGCGAGCAAAATGTCCACGAGGGCGGCGTTCGAGGTGGGTGGTTCGTGGTCTAGGAACGAGACGTATCCGATGGCGGATTGGACGCCTTTTACGTTGAACGAGTCCTAGGCGGTGTCAAACTCCCAGATCCATGATATACTCCATGCGATTTTTTCATCATCTTGCGTACCTTAAGACTGATTGGCAGGCCATGGAGCCTCCCCAGCGGCTTCCCCGTCCTCTCGAAGTGCTCATCCAGTTCTTTGGCCCGTTCCACCGCTTCATCGAACATCACCTCCGTCAAGCAATTGACCTGCGACAGTCAGCCAATGGACATACTCTCACCACAATCTCACTGACCAGCTGGTTCGCAATCGCCGCCCGCTTGCAGAACGCCGTCGTCACCTCTACCGCGGACACCTTCCTCTCCGCGAGCAATTGCAGCATGCCCGTGGCGTCGTGCTCCTCCGTGAGCTCCCATTCCTGCTTCGACAAGACTTGCCGGCCGTATTGCTGCAGCACATCCATGGCGCTCACGGTTGAGCTCTCACTGAGGTCCACGGTCGGAGACAGGTCCAGAAGCCAGGCTGGGTTGATCTTGGCTTTCAACGAATCGCGCTTCTGGGCGGATTTCTGGGCCCAATTGGGTAGGGGGGACGCTCTGTTTGTCATGTTTGCAACGGTGATGAATGATGAAATGGGTTGGTATAATGAGGTAGTTGAGGTATATCTGAAATATCAGAATACCAGTAAACGTGTGCAAATGCCAGTTCTTATATACACGTTTGATGCTATCAATTCCTATCCTCTCGCCATGACACCATCCACGAGTATCTCGTAAATCCCCACTGCCGAATTCTTAATGAGGCAACATCGTGGTGCTACTTCTGTATCTTCGCCGAACCTTCGGACATCACACATATGACATATCACACTGAACGTCACTCTGAAGTAGTAGTACACTCTAATTCTCCAGGAGAGGTTCTCCAACCTGTTCAGCCGCAACAGCCTAAGGCAAAACCGGTTTCGTATCTTGTGCTAGCCAGTGCCGCCAACTGTATATAGAATGGTAGCCGCAAGTTGTAGTTTCTGGCGCCCTTTGCAACGGTCGCTCGGTTCAAAATCGGCACTGACAAATTCAATTTGGCCTAATTACTCCGTAAATGGTTCGTAAATACTTGCTTGTGTGCCGTATGGTTGGCTGGTTAATTTGTCAGTCATCCGGACCTTCCTCGGAGGCGGGCTCGGACACTGGGTGGGTTCCATCCTAACATCCCCTTGATGGCCATCACTACAGTGCTCAACTTTCCTCATCAAAACGAGCTTCTAGCAATGAATTCGAATGATTTGCCCACATCACCACTTCATTGCATCGGATTTTCAGTCAGACACAGAATTTGGAAAAAAAATACCAATCTTATGCTAGGGCGATGTTATGCTGTGTTATGTTGCGATCAAAGTTTCCTGATCACCCTTCGTTTCTTCATTAAGAGAAGTAATAGGTCACGTGGTTACACCCAATGTCGGACCCAGTACGCTAACTAAAAGGCAGGGAGGGCAACACGCAGGTCGCAGACACGAGCCTATATGTGGGAGACGAGGCAAACGAGAGTACACGGACAAGCTAAAAGGTATGCCCAGCACAGTAGAGATATGGTGAGATAATGCCTCGATTGAGGTAGCACTCGAGGTATATCCGATAATAAATCAACATCGAACGCTTCCAGCCAGGAATTCCCCTGTGGGCAGCCCCGTGCTCTTTCATACTTCTTGCCCATGCCTTGCGATGACAGAGCCCATGCACGAGTTGTCTACCGTCAAATCATATACTCTAGATAAAGTCTTTCCCTATACCACTTTCACGCGGATGCCTTTGGTGTCGGGTTTCGGACATGGGAGAAACATGTCAGCTATCATCTCGACATCAGTGTGGTCAGTCTCGAAGAGCTCCAGCTTGAACCTTCGGAAGATGCTCGCAATCGTGGTATACAATTCTAGATGCGCAAGGCTGTTCTCATAGTCAGTCTTGAAAACTTCAAACCGCTCGGTTGCTCGGTTGATCACTCACTTGATTCCTAAGCAGCCCCTCGGACCCCTTCCGAAGGCCACGAAATAATGGTCAAGCGGTTTCCCGTCCTTCGCAGTGGCGTTGCCTAGCCACCTCTCCGGCCTGAACTTCCGCGCGTCTCCATAGACATAATCATCGAAATTAATATCCGTCATCGTCATCGACACAGGCGTGTTCGGTGGAATGACCCAGTCGCTATAGGGCAATGGCGAGCTGAAAACTCGAGCAGTTCTGGTTGTGACACCGATAGAGAACCGAACCGATTCTTTAATACAAGCTTTCAGGTACGGTAGACTCTCTAGATGGAGTAAGTTAAATGCATCCGCCGCCGACGGGTCAGGGATCGCGTTAAAGAGCTCCTGGCGAAGCCTATCATGTACTGCCTGGTCGGATAGGATATAGAAGATGGCGTTGCAGAGCGCCCAGGCTGTGGTTTCCAGACCAGCACCGATGAGTAATTGTGCCTCGTTGACGAGCCGGCCGGGGGACTTCTCAAAGTCCGGCAAACTCGATTCCAATACAGCGTGAAATATGGTAGGATGCTCTGGAGGCGGTACGGCGCCTTTTTCCGATCTGATGCTGGAGATTTTGTGCTGTAGATCCTACGAACCCGTTAGCCTCGTTCCGAGTTTGCGATGGCAATGTTCAGTACTTGCCTTACGGAGTCGAATTATCTTCGCAATGGCAGGGTTCATAGTAGTTCTCCAAGAGTCAGGCATCCTCCTCATGAGAGGGTGCAGCCAGGGGAAATGCAGGACGACGTGTCCAAATCCGGCCAACGCAAAGAAAGCATCGTGGAAATTGTCTTGAAAGTCTGGTGACTTGAGGTGCTCATAGCCGATTCCAAAGCAGTATTTTGTTATGATATCGCCCGTAAGACAAGAGAATGCTTTATTTATAGTGAGAACGCTCCCGGACTCCTTATACAAGGCGATCTTGTCGCACATGTATATTAGTTTGTCTCGGACAGTTAACTCGAACTTTCGGATCGCTTGCTTAGAAAACCTGTTGACGAGCATAAGTCCTTGCGTGAGACGCTGGGAAGCCGAAATCCGCGGCAAATCACCAATCTTACATTGGATTCAGGGCGCTCCTCCGCAGACGATGAAGCTGCGGATCTGTGGTGGAGAAGGTGGACGTCTTGTTACCTAGCCTTGCCGCATTCCGTTTATATTTTGCCTGTTTCGGGTTACGAGCATATAACTCGTCCCAGAAAGTGCTGTCTTTGATATGCAGTTCCTCCGGAGATATACGTACGATGGGTCCTATATGACAGTCAGCAGCTTCAAGCAGCGAATACATGCTACATGAAAGAACGGGACCACTGGACCATATTTGTTGTGGAGATCATCGATGTGAAAGCTGAATTGGCCTTTTTTGATCACATCGTAGTAGAATTCATACCAGGTGCTCAAAGCGGCAAGCTTCGGGCCGGGAAATTTGGCCAAAGGACTTAGATAAAGACGGTACGCGACACGATAGGCCAAAGCTGCCCCAAGCAATGCGAGAAGAACGATCACAGCCATATTGCGCACTCAACGAAAACAATACTCTATTCTACATAGAAGCATGAGGAACAAGAGTGCGACATGGAGGATGTTTTGTAGTTCTCAGTCGCTCTTCTGCGTCCTTAGCGAATCTCGCGGCGGGGTTCCCATCATCTTCATGTGGACGTTGGTGCATCCGCGGCGGCATCTTATTCGCTGCCTTCTCTTGCTGATAAACTGCTTTTCTGCCTGCATGAGTAGTACTTGCATAGTACTAGGGAGATGGGGGCGGTTGGGTTGGTTGAGGTTTTTGTAAGGTGCAGTAGGTGATTGACATGTCCATCCATTGAAGTTGTCAGACATCTTACCCACGCACCCACGCTAGTTCCAACCGAACTTCTATCCTGTGATAGTGTGATGGCCGTTGGTGCAGCGCTCAACTTCCTCGTCAAAACGCGATCCTAACACTAAACTTGCAAGCTTTGCCCACACAACCACTTCATTACGTTGCATTTTCGGTCCGAAATCTGGGAATGAAGAGTACGAGGCAGTATGAAAAAATTGCAAAATTGCAAAATCTTATGCCAGGGCGACGTTATGTTGCGACCAAAGTTTCCTAATCATTCTGGTTTCTTTGGCATTGGCAGGGGAAGTTATCGGTCACGTGGTTACCCGTTGAGGGCTGGTCTTTGGGCTCTGTGCGCTCTGTGCGTCACTTCTGTCTTCTTACCTCAGCAAGCTCAGGCTATTTGTGGTCGTGCCTGAGGCAACAAACCACACTATACCTAATCGGTCAATGCAGTTCTCGAACAAATAGCCTGAGGATTCTGTCAATGGTTCACACTGACTGTTCGATAATTTTCATGTGTTTTTCACGATTTTGGAAACCTCACTTTTGCATATTCTTCAATAACAACACAAGGACTTATTATAATT